GGCAAGCAAATCTAGTAACGTTAATAGCACGTTGCCAAGAGATGTTGTGCTTGTCTGGGATTCCATGTAACTACTTAAACTATATTTTATAGGTTTAAAAGCTAACTAAAAGTAAATATATATATATATATATATATAGACACACACATTTGGGTAAGAGTAATTGGCAAATGAGCTTTTCTTTTTCAATTATAATAAGGCCAAAAGTTATATTTTGAAACTTTCATATTAGTTATTGAAATTTAACAGTTAGCTGTATTTAATGCATTTTAAATTTATTAAACTTATTTATCCTTTCACTTTTCCTTGTGAAATTTGATATTTTTATTATCTATAAAATTAACATTTTTATTATTTGTAATCTATATGTATATATATATTCTTTAAATAGGTTTAATTAAGTCTTTTAGCATTTAAAAATATATTCTACATTGATACATTAACTCTTTTATTTTTATAATCATAGCTATAATTTCAATTTTTTTTTTAAATTTATCAAATTGCATACTTATATGTGTGTGTGAGAAAGAGAGAAGCAGGGGAAGAGAGGGGCAAACAACTTGTCCTTTTTAATTTTTTTATTCCCACTTGTCCTTTTTAGTTATTATATATTTAAACTTTTTTAATTATATCATTTAAATAAATTTTAGTTTTTTAAGTTGATTTTTTTATAAAAGAATATTTAAACATAAATCATGCTACAATAACTGATTTTTAACCCCATTTTAATTTGCAAATTACAATTTATGCAAGAGGTAGTTTCAATCCAAACAACTAACAAGTACGCTGGTTTCTTTTAACGGATCAGGCATGAGAAGATTTTTAGCGTAGCTGCTAACTAGACGACACACTGCTTCGACGTCAGTATTCTGCGTTGCGCGAATGAAGTTCGTAACAGCATGCCGAGAAAGTGATGGGGTTCTCAGGTCCCGTGTCTTAGCGGGCTTGCTTGATTTTATTTGGATTGGCGCTTCGCACGACATATATTTACTGCAGCAGTATACCTGCGCAGCTAAAAAATAAAGTCACGTTATTTACTATTTATAAAAAAAATTATAATCAAGTCCCATAAAAAAAATTAATTACTGTAAGATTTATTAATAATTAAATTAAATTACATTAATTTACTATTTATACAAAAGAGAATTACAATCAAATCTCGTATAAAAAAATTAATTATTATAAATTTTATTAATAATTAAACTAAACTATATTATTAATAATTAATTTTTTTTGGTAGGTATTCAATATAATTTTTTTTATAAAAGGTGTAGTTTACAGTAGCTGTTAATTTTTATATTTAAAGTCACTTGGCAAGTGTGATTTGACTGTTCTGTGCAAGTTATAAAGTGGGGAAATTCAAAGGAGCTAATCATACGGGTTTTGAAGAGCACAGTTAAAATGTTGAATATATTATGTGCGTTGGGGGGTGGAAGTTTTTGCGGGCATTTGTGTCCCCTTGCGACTCTCTGTGTCATCCTCATCATTGTGGGAGTTGTTTTGTGCATCAGTTGGTCAGAGACACTGACGCCCACCAAAATCCCACCCTCACTCGATCGCGTGTTTAAGACAATGCAATCTCAGCCATTTCTTGTGGTCTTGCTTCCCATAATGCGAAGGCCGCCACGAAAGCCTAAGCTCAGTGCTAATCTAAAATTTAACATGATATATTGTTTCGTATACAGGACGATTTTAGTTGTGTGAGATAGTATTTTATGCTTTCGTCAAATATGTCTGTGTGTTATCAATCAGAAACTTTGAGTATGGCTAGACTCAATCAGGAATAACAGAGTATGGTGGAACCCAGTTCGAAGCATTTTTGGCGCAAGTGACTTTCACAAGGAAATCTATTCAAACACTAGATAATCTATTTTTAGAGCTTTACTTTCATTCTCATTATTTTATATTCAATATTCCATACTATCAAACTAGACACTATATTGTTGATGTATTTATTTCTACGTGCTTTCCTTTTTTCTTTGTAAAAATCTATGTGCATCTTTACTCACGACTTGATCTTCAACTAATTCCTATCGTCGTGCTGGTTGTTTTAATTTTTTGTTAAATCCGTGTACTATAAAATGACTGGAGATATGTCAAGTAAGGTACGGGTAAATCTGTCATGGTTTTTAAATGCATCAAGAATGCACGTTGCAGTTCAAGTGATACACACACGCTGAAAGTTGAATGCCTCATATTGACCCCTCCATAGTCCATGCACGCCTCCAATCTATTCATAATCAGAGTACCGGAAATTGGGTTTACTGAATTGATCAATAGCTAATAGTTAAAATCATGATTGAACGAGGATCAAATTGATCATGAATAAAATATTTTATTAATTTGATGAAGATATTGATTGGTTTAACAATTTAATTGAGTAGATTGACTTAGATTTCTATGCTATATTCACAATGCATCCTCTTGTTTTCTTTTTTTAAATATTTTTTTTCTCAACACGGACATGGGTGTTAGATTTGGCATGAGGTGGAGCGAGCTCAAGCTTTCTGTCAGGCTTATGTAGAAGCCCGAAAATAAAAGTCTTCCTGCAATTGGCCCGATTTATATCTGATAAATAATCATCACAACACCCTCCGAGCATTATTCGGGAAAGTTAAACTTTCCTATTTATGTCTGACGAAAAACTTTCCTATTATTACATGAATTCAAGTATGATAAATTTTTAAGATAATGTTTATATTAACAAATTTAAATTTAAATTTTATATTTCACTGGTGAAAAAAATTTAAATTTTATATTTAAAAAATTACATTCTAAATATCAAGTCCAAAATCCATGTATTTGAATAATTTTGTATTCAAAATTTTAAATGAAGAAACTAGATGAGTGGAGATTTGAAATGAAAATAAAAAAAATAAAAATGATAAATTTATTTGTATTTTAATTAATAAGATATGCAAAAATATAAATGAGTCATTGGAGTATCAATAATAAAATGCAATGCGGAGTGAATAAAATATTTGAATTAATTAAAATTTTAAATAATTAACTGGGATGTAAAGGAAATTTGAAATGAGAAATGAATTGTAATAAAATTTAAATTTTGTTGTATATTTAGAAGAGGACCTTAACTAAATCGAAATCAAATTCTCTGCTAATCTAAACACAGCATTACATTATGGAGTTTCCATCATGGCTCAGAAGTAGCTTGTAGACTCAATTTGACTAAACAGATTGTGGAGGATAACTCTTCCTCTGTGGTTCATGAGTTCCAAGTGGCACAAGAAAATAATAGTTCTCAACAATGGCGGATGTGCCATGTTGTTAAAGTTATCACTCAGGATCAGCAAATTATAGTGCAACATGTGTTCCATGAAAGCAATGAGAGTGTTGATTTGTCAGCGAAGTACGATTTGACTCAATGTATTGAATGTAACATCCTCCCTGAACTTCCCATGAGTCTTATTTATGTAGTAGTCGTATCAAGATATAAGGGCTTATAGTTATCCTAAGTTTGTTATTAGTTAAATAAAGGCTGGGCTCCGCCTCGTTTCTGAAGGATTTTGTTTTGGTGCTTGGCACCAAAACATCGACCTTTTGCAGCGTCAATTTTTTTTAACCCACAAAATTGTTACAATAACAAAAAAAACCACTTTAAAAGTTTTTATTTTAATATTTAATAAATAAACATTAATATGTTAAAATATGATCCAAACAGTTCAAACAAAAATTTTGGTCTGAATGGACTGTAATAAAAAAATGACTTAAAGAATGCAGAATAAGGGTTGAGTTTAGCAAAAATGTAACAAATCAATATTTAAATTCTTATTTAGAAAAATACTTATATTTAATACTTGATCATATTTTGAATGATATTATCTCTCATAGATGAACAATTGTACAATATCAATAAAATAAAAAAATACTTTATAAAATATTTGTAGTTATAGTTACAATTTTTTTAATACAGCTCTGAACTGTTTATATCAAAATTTATATATAAATTGTTTATGTCAAGTTTTAACAAGTTAAATTTATTTATCTATTAAATGTTAGAATAGTAATTTTATAATATTTATTTATTATAATAATAATAATTTTGCGATTTAAAAAGAAAATCTTGCAAAATGATAGTGTTTTGGTACTTAGATGAGCATCGAACTCGTTATGAAACAGATCAATAAATAAAATATTAAGAGAAAAACATAACATATATATTATATATATATATATATATATTATAATAATTAATTTTAAATTTTTAAGGATGTGTTTAATTCAGAGTTTTGGAGGGGAGAGGACCTCATATTGCTCACCTTTAATTTGAAGTTTTTTGAAGAGGAGTTAAAATTTCTGATCATCTCGCCCTTAATAACTCATCTCCTCACTAGCACTCCTTCCCTTTGCCGTTTGAGTTGCAGTCTACCATCCCTATTCAAGTTGTAGTCTATGGTGACAATCATAATTCAATCAATAACAATCATTCATATTTTTTATAAGCTAATTAAAACAGAATTAGAGATCGAAAAACAATACTTTGGTGAGAAGGGAAGAAAGAGAGCATGATAAGTATGATGGAGGGTGTTGTTGTGACTTGAGAAGATGTAGCAATTTAATGGAGTGAGTGAAGGGAGAGAGCGAGAACGATGGGGGAGAGCGAGGGAGCCAGGAGCAAAGGGCGAGGACGAGGGCCAGGGCGAGGGCGAGGGAGCCAGGAGCAGGGGGCGAGAGATCGAGCAATGGGTCGAGAGACACGTAACGAATGATTGAGGAAAAAGACGTGGGGAAGAGACTGACTTTGTGAACCACTTTTCTTGCATATTTTTAAAACTATTAAAATATTAAAATTAATTTGAAAATTAATAAATAAAATAATTTAGTTTTAAATTAAAAAAAGCTGTGTAATTTAGATTAAGGTATAAAATTAATTTACATAAAGAATAATTAAAAAATATAAAATTTAGATACAAGAATATAATGATAAATTAGTGGACACCCCCTCCCTTCTCCTTCCAAATCAAGTATAAGGTCATTTAAGATCATTCCACCTCTTTAACCAAACAAGGTACCTCCCCTCCAGCGAATCAAACACAGCCTAAAACCCCTTGACTAAACCCTCGCCTCTTGGGCACTCTCTCCCCTTCTTCCACTCCACCGGCGGGAGTGCAGGGATTGAAAATATAGACAGGGTGATAAATCAAGTAAAAATCTTTTCATCATGGAAGAAGAACGCACAGAATTGTTCAAGGATGGCTCAGACATTTGCCAACAGCTCATGGACCGTTACGCCAACTCCGCCGCGCCGCAGCATCGCCACCTTCTCGCCACCGCTGCAGCCATGCGTTCCAATCTTACTGCCGAGTCCCTCCCTCTCACGCCGCCGGCTTACTTTGCCGCCACTATCTCTGCACTTGATACTGCGTCTTCGTCTGATTCCTTGGACCCTACTGCCCTTTCCGCACTCTTGTCTTTCCTGGCTATCGACCTCCCTCTGGTGCAACCCGGTGGAATTGCGCCCGCCAGGGCAAGTGATGCGGTTGAAGTATTGGTCAAGGTGGCTGAGAGGGAAGGGGAGGGACTGGCTGTCTCTAGCGTGAGGGCTGCGGTCAAGTGTTTAGGGGTTTTGGTGGCGTCTTGTGACTTGGAGCTTTGGGACACTGTCAGATTGGGTTTCGAAGCACTGATGAAGTTTTCCATCGACAAGCGTCCCAAGGTATTCCTATGTTACTGTTATCATTTTTCGCATTTTTTTGTTTATGCAACTATGCATATCAAGATGTTTAATTATCCATAATTTCGTGCCCATGTTCCGTAGTCTCATTGCAAAACCTAACATTCAATCTAATTTCTGTTCTCACATTATTCAAGACATCAGCTCTTTCACTGCCCATTGTCGTACACATTCCTCTGAATGGTTAATTCGGGTATTGACGTGTAACGGTGCAAGTAATTTAGTCCATATGATAACAAGTTTTATTCTTTATTGGAATTAGTGGTCTTTTAGTATCGTTATTTCATGATGATACAGACGGACAATGTATAAGACCTGCTAAGATTACTATCCCTAACTATGTCTCAAAGAATAGAGCTCTTGTCTGGAAGAAGAAAATCTGAAGACCTGCACTTTTTTCCTTGCTTGCAATGCCATATGGAGGAAAACTCACCACCTTCTTAAGCTTGTAAAATTTAAGAACAAGTGTTACGCATTAAACTGATCAATCTTATTTTGTTTGATTTTTTCCGACAGCATTTTGCCCTCACCATTTAAATGGCACCTAGGTGTATTTATTGGATTGCTTCCTTCATTTTTGGATCCTTTGATGAACCTTAATGTTGAAATAGGTCATATCTGAAATGCAATCAAATTCAATTTGACCAAGTTGTATGGTCGAATCGAACTTGTTAGAAACTGATTTGGTTCTTTCTTATTCTGTTGTTTTGGTCTTTTTGCGTTTTTCTTTTTTAGCTGGTTCTGTTTAGATAATTGATTTTGCAATATTTTTGGTCAAAGAGTAGATCAAATCATTAGTAGAATCAAACAAATTCAGTTCATAACTTCATGTACTTCTGCTGGTTGGTTTCTTTCAGGTACGAAGATGTGCTCAAGAGTCTCTTGAAAAGGTTTTCAAGTCTTTCCAATCTTCCAGAGTTGTTATGGAAGCAAGCAAGTTCGTTTTGTCAGTGCTGAGAAGTTACATGCCTTTGGCTATGAACTTAGTCACTTCAAGGACCGGTGATGGACCTAAAGATGATATGTCTTCCAAACCTGAACACATGGAGGTCCTTTATGTGCTAAATGTACTTAAGCTTACTGCTCCTTGTCTTTCTGCAAAAGTCATTTCAAAGGTGCTTTCAGAAATGCATAAATTAATTGATTCCCAGTTCTCGGCACTTACAAGGCATGCTCTTAAAATTATTGAGGCTATTTTTGAAGCTTCAAGATCTGAAAACATAGTTATAGAGACAGAGAACATTACAGTTTGTCTTACTTCATATGTGTCTTTGGGAGATAAAAACCCCTTGGATACTGTGATTTGTGCAGCAACCTTGTTAAGCCGTGCATTGGACATGCTTCATATTGGACAATCAAGCTCTTGGATCAAGAATCTTCCTCTTGTTTGTAGTTCTGTAATGGGTATGTATACTTCTTATTCCTACATGGCTACATGATAATTGAATGTAACAATTTTGTCATTTGATTATGTTCAGGCTTGCTCTAGGTCTCTTTATTTCCTCTCCATCCTCAAATTTCATATAGTTAAACTGGAATTCTTGGCACTTGCTTTTGTCTGTTTTATTTGACTTGAATTATTGCATTCTAGAATTACATAATTTTCAGGGATGTTATTACTCTGTCATAGAAAACATCCTAGGTTGCCTTCTCTAGTTCACTTTACTATATTTGTCATTCAAATATCACTAACACACTACACCAGAAGGCTGCAATACTTCTATTCATTATTTGTTTTCATTCAAGAAGATGAATAGTTACCTTTAGATTCAAATTGGGTCCTTCTCTGTATCATTTAAACCAAGAACTTTCATTCTGGCAAGCTACCAACTATCCCAAAAGCTTATGGTTTTGAAGAAGACCTAATAATAGTTTAATTAATATCTGTCATGCCACTTGAGCAAAAGCCTTTCTGCTTGAAGTGTGAGGAACTGTAGGCCCACCCATGCTAACTGATTTTGAAACTTTTACCTTATTAAGAAACCAATCATCCGAAAACCTTCAACTGTTAAAGAAGGTCAAATATTGGTTTTATTGGTTTTATTAATATATCTTATGCCCACTAAAACATTTTCATTGTAATGTAGAAGCAATAATTTGCCATTTTCCACTTGGAGGAAGATTCTAAAAAATCCATCTTCTATCTAACTCTTGCTGAACTCACTTATTAATAGGCTTCATACATCATCTAAAAGTGTTTTTCTATCTAGCAAGTGATTATATAGAATATTAATGGGGATTCATGTATATTCTTTCTTAGTTTATTTATTCAAATGTTACATGTGTGCTTGCTTCTATGCATCCTCTCAAGTATGTAGTGGTCTGATTCAAGCTGTCAATGTTGAACTTAGGTCTTCTAACTTCTGAGACAAACACTGCATCACAAGCTTCAAGTATTTTGAAGGATGTGCTGAAGCGTCATGTGCACCCACTGAGCTTATTAATTGATACAGATCAATTATCCTGTGGTAGGAGTGGGGATAGTTTTGAAAGCAGTGCGTTGAAATCAACATGCGCTGTTTTTGAGAATGCCATTTCAAGTGGTGTTGGAATTCCAAATGAGCATATTCTCTCTGTCATATCTGTTTTGTTTCTTGAGCTTGGTATGGGACTTTCTATTTTTACAGTCGCTTACTGTTTTTATCCATAGAATAATTATTGATGATAATGTCTATGCTCTGCTATTGTACTTTCCCCCTCTTTCAGTGATAATTTTTGTTCTTTTGTTTTTGGAGGAGGGGGGTTAGACATAGTGTTAATTGCTTATTTATTCTCGATTGTAGGGGAAATCTCGTTTGTGCTTATGAGGAATATTGTGCTTAAATTTGCTGACTTGATGGCCTACAATTCTGAAGGTGGGATGAGCGTGGAGTATGTAAGTACTGACTGGAGATTTTCTTGGCTTCTGTGATGTTGATCTGGCCTTACAGTTTTAGTGTGCAACTAATGCTTCATGTTTCCACCTTTTCTTTTTCCCGTATATGTAGTTTCCTCAGTTATTCTAAACCTTGGGTGAATTTTAGGGGGAATGAAACCAAGTCCCAAAACTTCAATTTAATATCATTTAATTTTCAAAAAATTTTGCTAAAAGATAAGTTACAAATATTGATTCAGATAGTTACAAATATGAGAATCTCAGTTGTGAATTACTCCCAAGTTATTCATGATACTTAAAACACTTGGGTTACAATTGAGACTCATATTTGCAACTGTCTAAATTAGTATTTGCAATTCGATTTTGAGAAAATTTTTTGGGTCTTGAGTCTTAACTGTGAAGTAGTTGATTTTTTGGGACCCAAGTATCAGTTCCCCTAAAATTTACCTGTTTTTGGTGTCATTTATTTTCCTTCTAGTGAAGTGTTTGTTAAATTTTGCCTCTTAGAAGTTACTGGGTAGGGTTCTGGGATGAGATGAAACAATAGTCATCCGTTGTCTAATATTAAATTTTAGGATCAGTTTTTGTAGGATACTTGTATATCTCATTTATTATAATATTCCAAGTGGATAAATTTGTCATGGATCGGTTGACTGGTTTGAGATTTTTGACGTTCTTCTTTCTTCCTGCAATTGTCCCTGCTGTGTTAAACTTGTAATGTTTAATGTATTTTAATCCATTTCATACCCAAACTATGTCTGCTGATTATTGTTTTTTCTGCTTTTCATAATTGTGCAGCTCCAGAAATGTTTTGGTGCTGCTGTTTTTGCTATGGGGCCAGAGAGGATTCTTATGCTTGTGCCTATATCTCTTGATGAACACGACTTGAGTTATTCAAATATCTGGCTGGTACCTATTTTGAAGTGCTATGTTGCTGGAGCAACCCTTACATGCTACATGGATCATATCATGCCTCTTGCGAAGTCCTTTAAGCAGGCTAGTCGTAGAGGTACTCTGTCATTCTTTTCATCATCTTCAGCTTATTAGTTAGTTTTATTCTTCTAAAATATGATTTCCTTATTTTTGTTTTACTGGATAAAAATATAGAAAAAGGTAATCATATTGTAATCAATTTTTTTAAAGTTGGGTCAGACATTGAACTAAGGAAAATAGCGGTTCCTGCCTTCATGGTTTTTAGCTATGATGCACACATACTGATTTGTGTATCGGATATACGATGATACTTTTATTTTAAAAAGTATAGGATATGATATGTTTCTGATATGTGCAAATATATTTATAAAAAAATCATAAAAACATTAAAAATATAATTTCAATTTAGAAAATATACAAACTAGCATACATGTATAGTCCTTTATAGTAACACCAAGCAAAACATAAACATTTATTGTTCTTTTATTCCATCTCTACCTTTTGCCTACCGTCTAGTCTTTGATAATAGTTTCCTACTTAGGGGTTATATGCCAAAAGATTATATCCCTAGGTTTTTATAATTAAAAAATATGATTTCGATCCTTTTATTATATCCGAAACTTATTTTTTAAAGGAACATCTAATTTTTGACTTTAAAGCAAATCACAGAAATATATTAGGAATTAAAAAGATTAATATTGCAAGTATTTAAAAAAATTAATTTCTTAAAAATAGCCTTGAAGTATCAACTAGCAATCTAGAAGTATCGAATGCGTATCAAAAATTAAAATTTTTTAAAATTAAAAAAATAATATTTGAATATCGAAGAAGTATCGGTAATATGTGGGGTAATTTGAAGTATCGGTGCTTTATAAGCTTTTAGGACTGACCATACTTGAACCATGTTCGAACTAGTAATGAGTAAATATGTTTTCAAAATTTTTCTATATAAAAGATTATAACATGACAGATAAATACTATGATTTTTTTTTTTTTGGTAACAATCCATTCAATATTTGTAATGTCAGCTAGTTTGGATTCAAGCCAGGGTGGGCCCCAATTTAGGAATGGTTGAATTCGAAACTCCTTTTGATAGCTGTTGAGTTCCTTACCACTCAATGATTCACTGTTCGTAAAGACTAATAAATTTTAAATATTGAATTACCAATTCCATATTTCTTAACGTGTTTGAGAAGTCATTTTTGAATTGAACAATACGGAAAACTACTGATAATATCTAAGAGTAATTAATATAAAACTTTCCAGCTTCCCACGTTATATCAAGAACCCAATGGTAGAAGTAGCAATTTTGTCCAAACACCTTGATAGTTGATGAATGAGGTGCTGCTGAGATATGGAGCATGGTGTAGAGAGCGTCCAAAAATTACCGACCACACACTTTGCTTCCTGTGCATTCTTTTTCCCTTTATTCTTTCCTTTTTTCAACTTCCACTTTCTCCTATTGCCTTCAATTCTTTGTTTTTCAGATGTCCTAGATGAATTGTGCTGTAACAAAATTTGAAAACTGGCTGGTCCTTGAGGTGTTGTTTTTGACTAATTTTAGGCAGGCTGGTTTGGTCCGGTTTTCCTGACAGTGATAACAATTATTTGATCATGAATAATTTGGTTGAGTAAAGTGGATAATCTTCTGTTTTGTCTAAAATGTCCATCCTTTGTAGTTATCTTGTTTATCATGCGTCAGCAATTTTACCAACTTATAAATGGCTTTTTAACCTTTCTTCCAGACAAAAAGTCAGCCATTAGCCAAGATCTGCAGGTTCGAGCGCATGAGCTCTTGGCATTGCTGCCTAGCTTTTGTCGTCATGCAACTGATACTTCCCAGAAGTTTTCTAGTCTGTCTGATGTTCTTATTACTTTCCTCAAGAAGAACCCCTCTATGCATGAAAATATTTCCATGGCATTACAGGTCTCTTTCCTTCCAAAGATAGGTCTATATGATCTAGCTTCCCACCCCAAAAAGAGTACTGTTCTTACACACTCTTAATTTTTGTGCAGATTCTTGTAAATGAAAACAGAACTGCAAGCCAGAAAAAGAGCGTGTCAAACTGCTATGCAGTGGAAGATTCTTGGATGGAGGATGGAATGTTACCTTCTTACTCAAAGAAAGAAGCCACTAGAAACGTCAAGGCTCTGGCATCTTGTTCTAATCAATTGCTTAGTGTACTAACAGACTTATTTGTAAATTCACACTGTGAGAATCACATTTGTTTAAAGGTTGTACTTTTATCACTTATTTAGCTCGTCTTAGATAAGACCTCTTCTTCACATGTCATTGAATAGATCCCATAATCAAGAATTTGTTGGCATCATTGCCATTCTAAAGAATATTTATTCACGGAGTTTCAAGTCAACGTAGCATGTAAACTATTAGGTGTCATTTTCTTGGCTGGAAACATTACTTTCTAGTTCTCCTTAACCTTAATGATAATGATGATGATAATTATTGGTGTTGTCATTATGGTTTTGTATCTTATCACGCACTCTTTTCAATTTCTGTCGGATTTTTCTTTAAGCAATTTCCTGATTATTTGTGTTTATAGACAGGGTACAAGTAATTTGAATTATTTGATTTCCCCCCCTTTTTCAGGGAGCTATTGGATGTCTGGCTTCTATCACTGATTCTTCTGTAACTAAAGAAATTCTTGCGTCATTACTTAAAAGGTTTCAATTTATTGACTACGAAAGTAAATCCAAAGAGCTGAAGAATGACAGTCAAACTTTAGATAGTGAACCAAGTGACGCAGAGAGAGATTCTCAAAGGTAACTGTGAAAATTTAATTTTACAAGGATAATTGAATCAGTGGCCATGCTTGGCAGTTTGGATTTTTATATGATGGCAATAGTTCACGTATGATCTCAGTTTTGCATTTAATGTTCATCTCTTTCTAAAGTTGGAATGACTTGTTGATAGCATCCACATTACTTTCCTTGTCTTTTCTGTTTTATATTGTTAAGAAGCATAGAACTAGAAGAATACTGAGCATTCTTGTTAATTTATCTTTTAACACAGGTTATTTTCTCATTGAAGCCTTAAAATCTTCAGCAAAGTACCTTGTTTGAGAGGGATGATTGTGCTGGGATAATTATTTTTTAAGTCCAAGCTAATAACTATTACTTCCTAACATAAACAGGAAATAATTCATCGATTCATTATAAATACCAATCTGTAAATTCTGTCCTTTTACTGATTTTGAACTTTAGTAGCCTTCATTTTATGTTACTCTTGTACTAAACTTCTTATCTCATAGCAGATGATACATGTTCACTGTTGGCATTGGCATTCAGACTATGATATTTGAGTTGGAGAGCCCAACTATCCTAGTTGCTGAAAACTAACTCATGTCTTTTATGTAATTATGAAATCACTGAATGGTCATAATTACTTATTTGTTCAGGCACCTGATATTGGAATTGGCATCATCTCTTGTTGAAGGAGCGAAGGATGATCTTGTTGAGATGATTTATGCTTTAACTATAAACTCTTTTCAGGTATTTATAAGTGACAGACGTTTCCTTTTTGTTTTTACAGTTTTTTAATAGTTCTTTTGACTATCCCTTATGGTTTGACCTTTTACTTAAATGAATGCTATTTAGGCAGCTAATGAGCACATTCATCATGAGGCATACTGCACTTTGAGCAAAATTTTGGAGGTCTACTAATGCACAAGATTCTTATGTTTCATAGCCTTTGTTTTTGCTTCCAGTTTCATCACTGTTGCTGCTTGATGCAGGAACACACATCTTTTTGGTCTTCCCGATATGGAGAGCTGATTGATTTCTTGCTGAATCAGAGGCCTCCAAGTGATTTTGCATGTCTTAGAAGTCGATTTGCTTGTTTTCATACTTTGATGATACACATGGTGAAGGTCAGAATTCTGTTCAATTAAGATAAATTAATTTGCTGTAATTTGTTCAAGCTAGATCAAATAACTGGTTGGGCCTTTAAGAGGGAAAGAAAATGACCATGGGTCCGGATTGTATCTAAACCAAGCCAGTCTGGGAGCTTATTTGACCAGAATAGTTAAGGCTAGTTTGGCTGACATTAGAGAGCTTTGTATCATGATTACTTATACAATTGACTTTTCACTTGTTAGGTGTCTTTATTTATAGTTTTTCAATCAAATCCAAAATTTTCTTCATGGCTTTTACTTTGGGGTCATGTTTTAACTGTCTAGCATACTGAAGTAGATTCCTGAACTTTGCAGATGAGCTTTGAGGAGGAGGTGGACTCAAAGGCCTTTTTAATTCTCAATGAAATAATTCTCACGTTAAAGGATGTAAGATTTAAGTGAATGTTGTTGATGTACTTGTCAAAACTTCACAGATTTAAGTTTGGTCTGTTATTTCAAATAAAAGAGGAAAAGTGGTGGGTTTCATAAACTGACAACCAATTGTAATTTGTAGGGCAATGATGGAGCTAGGAAACAAGCTTATGATGTGCTCCTTGATATTGGTTCCACGTTGAGAGACTTACCATATGGTGGCCCAACTGAACCATATCATAAACTCATTAATATGGTAAGTGCATAGTGTATTTCACTTTGATCAGTTGATGTACATTTCTTTGGGAGCATTACTTTTTCAGAAGTTACTTGGTTTAGAGTTGATTATGTTCTGATATATATGTATTTGCGTGTTTATATAAACTAAAAAATAGGTGTATGCAATGAAATCATATTTTTACGCTCTTTCCAAATCTTTATTTTGTCATCGCACTATTGGACTTGGCTGTGCTGTTGTTTAATTTCACTTGTTTTTCTTATGCATCTGTAGTAACTAACACTCCCTCCGTTAAAAAATGTAAGGCATTTTTTGAGGAGTTGGATGTTTTGAGGTGTAGCCATTGCCTTTTTTTGAAAAGTGTCGCTATTGATAATGACTTTATACTTATTGTAGGGTGTTTAATACAGGTAAATGTGAAAAGATAGGATTAGTTTAAAAGTAGGTAACTATATTGGAGGGTGAGATTTGGTTAAAAATGCCTTACATTTTTTAACAGGGGGAGTAAGTGGTTAACACTCTACAATTTTCAGATAATTGGGTATCTTACTGGTTCATCTCCGCATATACAAAGTGGGGCAGTGTCTGCACTGTCTGTTTTGGCGTACAAGGATATAGACATCTTTCTCTCAGTGTCTAACCTTGTGCCATCTCTTTTATCTTTGCTGCACGCTAAAGCTGTTGAAGTCATAAAGGTGAGTGTTTCCCTACTCTACTTTGAAAGTCAGAATACTTTTAGAGGATCTCTACATAACAACTTCTGCGTTGACTTACATCTTGTACAGGCTGTGTTGGGCTTTGTAAAAGTGATGGTCTCCTGCGTACAAGCAAAAGATCTGCACAACTTCCTCTCAGATATTGTAACTGAAGTCCTCCCCTGGTCGTCTGTCTCAAGACATCATTTTAGATCAAAGGTATGTGCAAATTTTAGCGTTATGATTGTAAAATTCTAATAAATGCTTGGTTGTGTGCTTAATTAGATTGGACTGTGTAACATGTCTCTATAGTCTGCACTCTAAAAACCCATGTGTTCCTTTGTGTTGGTTTTCTGCAGGTCACTGTCATATTTGAGATAATAACAAGGAAGTGTGGAGCTGCAGCTGTCAAGGCGGTTACTCCGGGGAAATACATGGGTTTTATTACGACGGTACTAGAGGTATTCTGTTTTGTACTAGTTATGAGACCACTGCTATACCTTAAGCTCAGCCTGAGGCTATTCTTATGTGACAGCATCTTATGCAAAAGCTCAATTTTTTTGGACATGTGGACTTTGAAGTTCAAATGCCTTGAAGTCACAAATTCCAAATCAGTCTTTTTTCATTGGCCACCAAAAAAAAAAAAAAAAAGTGACTGAATTCAGGCAACGAACAATATATAATCCACATTCTTCTTTGCTTCCATAATAAAAACCGTTTATTAATTTACTAATTGTCACTAAGTTGATGTGGGGCCAGACTATACATTTGGTCTCTGGTTTGGCTTCCCCCCCCCCCTTGAGAGTCATCCTTCTGTTTTGGAGCTTTAAACAATAATATAATTCATCTCTTATTTAGATTTTCTCCCTTTTTTTCCTTTGTCTTTTTTAAGGTGAATTTTTCCTTGTCTTATTTATATGCCGGCTACACGATTTATTTTATGCATCCATTGGATCTGTTTGATTGATGGAGTTTTGTCTGAAATTTGTATTATTTTGAAGTTCGTTTTATTTTAGGTAAATGGTAAATGCTGACCAATTTTAAACATTTAATTTCACTGTGTTGCCACGCTGCCCTCCAGAACCGCCATGGCAGATCAAGTACAATGGAAGATGTCAAGAATGATACAGAACATATGCCTGGAGGGCCTTCTGCCGAGGGGTATAGCTTCAATTGCTTGTTAACTAATTTTATTATTTAATCGTTGTTTTATTTGAATGCCATCCTTGGTCCTACAAAATCTGTGGTAACAGTCTCGATCTGATCCTCGTTTTTATAATTTCTCCCTTCTATCATAGGCCAGAGGCAGAGCAAAGGAAGAAGCCTAAGAAATCAGATTCTCAGGAGAATGGTGCAGGCAAACTTAAAAAGAGAAAGAGGGAGAAGAAATTTGTGACTCACTTGCCGAGCTTAAATGATCCTGTCAAGTCTCGTAGCAATCATGAATCAAATTTTGCTAAAAGAGCTAGGCATTCTTATAATAATAATTCAAAGAAAGGAAGTCCTGAAGGAAGAAGAAGTAAGAAGGGCAACTTGAGTAGTAAGAAAAAAGGTCTCAGTGGTGGTGGGATGAAAAAAGTAAAGCCGAAGAGTACTAAGAAGGATAAGGCAGCTTCTCATGGACCTATGAGATTTTCCAAATCCCACAAGACGAAAGAGTAAATCAAAGTTAAATTGAAAGCCGAGAAGCAATCTTCATGAATCAGAAAAGCAATTGCTGCCAGTAAACATGGCATGTCTCCCAGGAAAGTATTGGAAGGGAAGTTCGGCCACGAAGTTGTTAGCGTTGCGCCAAAGTTATTGCATTTTAATGTCTAAGCATAAAGTCCTCAGGCTGACCAAGTGTAATTGAGTTGCTAATTTTCATCAAGCTCAACGTTTGAATCTCTTGGCTAACTCCTCTGAAAGGTTTTTAAATCAGAGGACTAAATTCTACAGGCGCAAAATCGGAGTCCAGAAGGTTGCGAATTTTGTTCGTTTGTTAGAAACATGATTTTATACTTGTAATCCTATTAATAATTAGATTAGAAAATAAAATTGATATTTAATGATTAAAGTGTTTATTGTGCACGTTAGTTTCTTGATTGTTCTCTTACTATTTGGTCTTTGGGATATTACCAAATATAGACATTTCGGTTTTATATTTCTTATTTTTGAATTCTAGTAGTTTTTTTTTTTAATGGATTTGTAAAATCAAGGATTTAAGTAATCTAAATTTAATTTAGATAGCTAGGAGTAGGTAGTAAAAAATGATTAAGGTGGATTGAATTCAGAACGCTTAATTCTTAAATGAATAAATTGTTTTTCTCTAAAGGGCACTGGATTCGAAAGAGGTCGGGCGGAAAAAAAAAAAAATTCCAACAATCCAGCCAATAACGTTTTAGTTGGATGAATGATAATTTAATTCGAATATTTTTCAGGAAAAAAATATTATCTAAAGATCCTTGGGTAGTTTTTATATCAAATAAGGACCTTAAAATTGGGCCCAAAAAAAAGACCTTTAAAATTTAAAATTTCACTATATTCCTATAATATTTGTATAAAAAACAGATTTTATAAGAGAAGTTTAATAATTAAATGTTAATTATATATGATTATTTGTTATAATTTAAATAAATGCTTGTTTATGCACTTGAATGGATGTTTGCTTATGCATTGAACTCGTGCTATCATTTATAGTTACTCCCTTCATTTTTATATATAAGATATTTTTAATTAAATCATGCCAACTAATAAAATTTAATTATTTAATTAAAAACATAGCAACATTTTAATTTTATCTCTAAATATTGTAATTAAAAAATGAATTTCTTTTTCTAAAGTAAATTAATAAAAGTACTTATTTTTTTTCTTTTCAATTTAATAAGGATGTAATCGTCAATTCATTAAAAAATATGCTAACAATATCTTATATCTAAAAATATTTTTTTAAAAAAATTTATATATAGGAATGGAGAAAGTACTTGTTAATTCAAGATGGAATGTTAATTATGTAAAGTTATTTGTCAAAAATTGAATTGATGTTTATTTATGCAAAACAAACACTTGAATAATTTAACACGCGTTACCATTTTTTACAACTTGTTCATTTTTGAATATGTCGTTGTGAATTACATATAATTATCTGTCAAGATATGAATAGATGATTGTTTATATAATTGTAAAATTTCAAGGATGATTGGGTCTTTTCTTATAAAATCTTATTTTTATATAAATACTTGAGGGTACAAGGAAATTTCATATTTTTAAGGGTTTTTTTGCTATAAAAACCTTTTAGGGGTCCTTGAATGATATTTTTTGTATTTTTATTTTTAATTTTTACTTTTGTATAGTAAATAATAATGAACAAACATATTCTTTGGGCGAAAAAAATGATGAGCAATCATGAATTTTAAAATAATAATCCAACCCACTGCATACATACATACATATACTTGTACATATACATATACATACATATATATAATGTGAGTAAATCAAATTCAACCCATGGTATTTCTAGGTTTTTCTTTTGTAAATTATTTTATTACATAAAAATTTTGAATTTTGATGACAACTCAGCATCATAAAAAAATTTTGCCCTTTTATTTTTATTATTCGGCAAGCTATTTTATAGGCTATTTTTTTACAACTTTTTTGGGCCAGAAATTTTTTTTTCACATGTATTGAACTGTTATCTGATTGTCGTCGTCGTCGTTGTGTCCTGGTTTGTGGAAATAAGAGTAGGTTTGCATTGATAATTGATAAATGCATATTTAAAAACAGTTCAATACATGTACATGTGAGAGTTGTAATTATGAAAAATAATTCTGACAAAAAATATGAAAAATAATGATCTAATTGACCAAAAAAGGATTAGTTATTTTTGAGATTTTTCTCTCTCTGTTTTTGTTTTTCGCCAAAATTTTTGAGATTTTCCTTTAAGTTAAGCTGAAAGTCTGAAACTTCATGTTGTTTCAGAATTTTAAAATGCAATCAATATATCACAATAAAACAAAGTTTTATGTTAATAACATGAGGCATTATGAGCTTAACATATGATATCACTTCTGAAATTTTCATATAGTCGAATTCTTTTTTTTTTTATATAGTTATACGATCGGATTCTAATCACGTATACTTTATGAATATGAATAACATGCTTAAAGGAGCTGCTTATCCCCTTCTCTCCGCCTTCCTTCCTTCCTTTTTTCAATAAAAAGGTTATATTTCATTTATTTGTTTTTTTATAATATTAAATACTAATTTTTTATTGGTTTCCTTGTTTTCTTTTACAGGTGAATTAGTGTGTGTAAAATTTTTTTATGATTAATAAAATTGGCTCTGTTTTGTTTAAAAAAACTAATTTTTTATTTAAAAATATCAATTTTTATTTAAAATTCTTGGCTATGTTATTTTTCCTACAAAATAACTTAATAACTATGCGTATTTTTTTTCCTTTCATCACAATTTTTTCTGCATTTAAATTTATATGTTATGTTTTTAATATTTCATAGATAACATTGGAAAATAAATAATTTTTTATGCCTTAAATTATTTCTCGTTCGCTTCTGTCACTTATTTTATTAATTTCAATAAGTAAAATGTTGTTTAGAATTTTAAACATGATAAAAAAATTCAATCTTTTTTTGCAAATCATATATTACTTAAATGTAAAAATATCTTCTAAAATCTTAATATAAATTTATTTATTGACACATTTTTTTGTTGTAAATTAAAAAAAAAGGTACTCCCTCTGTTCAAAAATATAAGGCATTTTTTAAAGAGATTGATATTAAAAATGTAAGGCATTTTGAGTCTTTTAAGGTGTAACCAATACTTTTTTTCAAAAGTGCCACTATTGAATAAATTATTTTATTTGTTAGGGTGTTTAATAGGAGTAAATATGAAAAGATAAGATTAGTTAAAAGATAAGTAATTACTTTATTAGGGATGAGATTCAGTTAAAAATGTCTTACACTTTTGAAGGGAGAGTATATTATACATGTTTGAAACTAAATTTGTTTACAATCCTAAAATGTTAATTCTTTTTTAGGAAAATATCACTTAAGAACCACTATAGCTAATTTATATTAGTTAGGGTCATAAAATTATGAAATTTTACTGCAATCTCTTGGTCTTTAGTTGAAATCAATTTCTATATAAAATGACCAAATTCCTCTAAAATTTAAAATAAGAAAAAAAAAGGTCCTCTATATTGTCACTTGCACCAATCATCAAATCACCGTCAAAGACTTGCCAGTAGCAAGTCACCGAAACTCCAACATTGATAATATTTTTATTGATGGATGATTAGTAAAGGTAGTTGTGAGATTTTATTCCATTATCCCTTAGTTGCCTAAAAAATTTAGCCTTTTGGTTATACATGGTAAAAAAAAAAAATAGATGTAGTAATCTAAACTTCTAAATTACTTTCATGTTATAATATAATAATATATTGTTAATTTCATAACAATAATAGTTATTTTACTGTTGTTGCTTGTTAATATGGCATGATCAATTACAAATTGAATATTTCAAAACTTTATACATTTTACTTGTTAAAATCCAAATATATTATTATTAATCATGAATGAGTTATTGTTAAAACTTGAATAGATATTATTAATAAGTAACTAACACTTATGCAGTTGAGTATATTCCATTAGTTTTTTTTAACTTGTTAAAACTCAAATGGATTGTTAATTTAAAATGATTAGTTGTTAAAACTAAATGAATACTTATCAAAAAATGACTAAAATTTGTACAATTAAACTCATCTTTTGTTCTTTTCTAACCTGTTAAAATTTAAATGAATTGTTGTTAATTTTGAATGCATTGTTATCAAACCCCGAATAACTTGTTGTTTATACACTTGTTCTATTAGACACGTGCTTTCAATCATTAATAATTATCTATTCGAGTTTTAACAACAATTTATTTGAAATTAACAATAATTTATTTAGGTTTTAATAAGTTTGAAAAGTGGATAGGATGAGTTTAATTGTATAAGTATTAGTTCTTCATTGATAAATATTCATTCGCATTTCAATAACAACTCATTTGAAATTAACAACAATCCGTTTGAATTTTTTAAGTTATAAAAATTAATATGATAAGCTTAATTGTACTAGTATTAGGTCCTTCATCAATAATTACCTATTTGAATTTTGACGATAACTCATTCGTGATTAAGAACAATAATTTAAACTTTAATTGAGTAAAATATATGAAGTTTTAAAACCTTTAATTTATAATTGACTGTGTCAAATTAATAAGTGACATTAATTAAATAGCAAATACCATTTTAAAATTAATAACACATTATTATGTTATAACATGGAATTGATTTAGAAGCTTGGGTTATCAATTTTTTTTGTTTTTGCTATATATGGATGGGCTTGGTGGTTTGGTAACTATGGGTCATGGAATCAAATCTTCCTTAACCATTTTATCCTTTAATAAAAGTGCTACTTGTGCTGAAAGGGCTCTAACGACCTTGCTGTTGACAATGTCTTTGGCGATCCGATAACAATAAAAGTGACATTTTTTTATTATTATTATATTATGTTTCAGGGGTGATTCGATCATTTCAAATAAAAAATTAATTTTAATCAAGAATTAAGGAATTGCAATGAAATTTTACAATCTCACAAGTCTTGACTGATATAAATTAGCTACAGTGATTCCTGAGTGATGTTCTGATATTTTCCTTTCTTTCTTTTTTTTTTTTGGTTTTTTTTTTAGCCCATCCCCTAAACTTTATGTCAGTCCAAACAAAAAATAATTTGTGAACCACTTGCCCGTCGAATACACGCGAGCTATCTGCGCGGGGATGTAAGACCATAATTAACGACCCACGTGAACTCTTGGAGCGCAGGGTGGGAGGGTTTTATACGTAACCGTCATCTCAACCCAAGCAGTACCACTACTTACTCGATGGCCACCGCACTTCGCCATTGTCTTTTTAAACTCGCCGTCACCGCCGAGTCGGCTCCGCTTGACGAGCCAAAGAAGAAGAAGAATGAAACGGCGTTCAAGGAGACGAAGCAGGTTTTCGTGGACTACGATAGCGGCAAGCACGAAGTCTTCACCAGGGTGAGCGGGCTCCGCAAGGATGACATTCCCCAGCGCTATCGCTTGCGAGTAGAAGGCAGACGCTTCCAGAAGGATTGGACGGTGTCTGAGGTGGTGGACATGGTTTTGATGCTGAATCTCTCGGAGGATATCGAGGGACTCCTGAATCGCTGGGCTGGACGCTTTGCTCGGAAGAATTTCCCGGTGCTTATTAGGGTATTGCAAAATCCTCGGTTGCAATATTAGCGCAATTTGTTCATTTGGAATTTTTATGTCACCAGAGTCCCGAAAAGTTGTTTGTATTTTGCATTTTCATTTCTGAATTTTGCTATAATAATAATAATAATTATATTTAACTGTTAAGTTTCAGTTTGATACGCCAATATCTAAACATTTGTAGGAGTTGGTTCGAACGGGATCTATTGAGCACTGTAATGCAGCGTTCCGTTGGATGAAAAATCAGAAAAATTACTGTGCTCGAACTGATATATATAATATGATGATAAGGTTAAATGCTAGGCATAATCGAACGGACCAGGCGCGTGGATTTTTTTTTGAGATGCAAGAATGGAGGTATCGGTTTTATGTTGGTGCAAACTCTCATTGTTAATAAGAGCGCATTCCATATTTTTAAGCTCCATATGCTCCTTATATTCATCTTGTATTTTGATGTGGATGAATTAGATGAGACGGTATTTTGCTATTGTTAATGCTCCTTTAGTGTGTTTTCCAGTGGTATGCTCATGATCAGTGCTGCAATTGATTTTTCTTTTTCTTTTTGTTTTTTTTTAAGTCTGCCTGATTTTCTGTTGTCACTATTCGGGTTATCACATTGCATTCATCTTATTTTTCTAGGTGCAAGCCTGATGCTGAGACTTACAATGCTCTTATCAATGCTCATGGGCGAGCAGGACAATGGCGCTGGGCTTTGAATATCATGGAAGACATGCTACGTGCAGCTGTGTGTACCTTGTATTTTTCTTTCCTAATCAGTCTTAGTGGGTCTGAATTGATGTGAGCAGCCTCCTTTTTTTTTCCCCCTCAATTTTTATTATTAGATTGCATTTAGGGACAAAAGTACTCAAGATATCACACATAATGATAACGTGCTTGTGCAAGCACTTCTTGCTGGAGTGTTCATTATGACCACCCTTTTGTTTTTTCTTGGCATGTTATATCTAGAGCTGGTAATTTGGGTGGGGTGAATTTATTCAGATTAGGCTTAAAATATCTGAACATATAAAATGCCTATATAGTCAAGCCTAGCCTAGCCCAGTTCTAACACCTCAGGCTTTCAAGCTTATTTGGGCTGGCTTGTATATCCGAATTGTTAAATATTATTTTATTCTATTTTTTTTCCAATTTAGCCAATTTCAAATTTTATCTTAAAAATTAAGATTTTTCAATTTTTATTTTATTAATAATTTTAAAAAAAGTCGGGTATTCGGGCTAAGCCCATTTGGGTTCAGGCTTGGCCTAGATTTCTTTGGGCTTATTTGAGCGGCCTAAGTCCAAACAAGCCTGAAATAAAAAAAATTTTCTAAACTCCTTAGTCCACCCCTAAGATTTTTGCACTTATTCGGGTTGGCCCGAATTACTAGCTCTAGTTATACCTTCTATAGCATTCATACCCTTTCTTTTATTTATGATTACGTCTAAGGAAGCATGCCTTCTAACCTTGACAGACGGAAGCAAGTATGTTTAAGTAGTTCACCATATTGTTTGACGAGGAAGTGTAATGCATGAACTTTTTTTTGCATATTTTAGATAAAATATGCCCCATTGAAATTCATTCTTAAAAAAAAAAAAACTCAATACATTAATGTATATGGGTTCTCTCAGATGAAATACTTGAGATCTCATTGTTAGATACTCTTTGAATTTGTTTTACATGATGGTAGAGGATCTCCCTTTCTCTGTGGAACTATTTAGGTTTTTGTTCTGACTATTATTGATTTATTGTTGAAATAAGCAATTAAGTCTAGTGATAGTATTTATAATCAATGTATCATAAGCTTTATATAATATCTCGTTCAGGGGTTCCACTATTCTAAGCAACTTAGGCATTAGAAAAATAATTGATAGGTTTTGGCAGTTAGCATTTTCATTTCAAGTGCTTTTTGTGACACTAACATAATCTTGCAGATTCCACCAACCCGATCAACATATAACAACTTGATCAATGCTTGTGGATCTAGTGGAAATTGGAAAGAAGCTCTTAATGTTTGCAAGAAAATGACAGACAATGGAATTGGGCCTGATCTTGTTACTCACAATATTGTGTTATCTGCATTTAAAAGTGGGGCTCAGTATGCAAAAGCTTTGTCTTATTTTGAACTAATGAAGGGAACCAACATTCATCCGAACACAATTACGCTTAATATTGTGATCCATTGTCTAATAAAGCTTCAACAATATGAGAAAGCTGTTGTTATTTTCAATTCCATGAAGGAAAAGAGGTCAGAATGTCACCCTGATGTTGTAACATTCACAAGTATCATTCACTTGTATTCTATGTGTGGGCAAGTTGAAAATTGTGAGGCTGTGTTCAATACAATGCTGGCAGAAGGGCTAAAACCTAATATTGTCTCATATAATGCATTAATTGGTGCATATGCCGCTCAGGGAATGGACAATAAAGCAGAGTTAGTTTTTAATGAGATTAAGCAAACTGGTCTGTGCCCAGATATTGTCTCCTATACATCTCTGCTTAATGCTTATGGAAGATCTCAAAAACCCCAAAAGGCAAGGGAAGTATTTGAAATGATGAAAAAAAACAACTGCAAGCCGAACCTTGTTAGCTACAATGCACTGATTGATGCTTATGGATCTGGTGGTTTGTTAGCAGAAGCTGTTGAACTCTTGCGTGAGATGGAGCAAGATGGAATTCAGCCAAATGTTGTCTCAATATGCACTCTCTTGGCAGCATGTGGACAATGCAATAAGAAGGTGAAGATTGATACAGTGCTTTCAGCAGCTCAGATGCGAGGCATTGAACTAAACACAATTGCATATAATTCAGCAATTGGAAGCTACATGAATGTGGCAGAATATGACAAAGCTGTAGGCTTGTATAATTCTATGAGGAAGAAAAAAGTTAAGCCTGATTCTGTTACCTTCACTGTGCTGATTAGTGGTTGTTGTAAGATGTCAAGATATAGTGAGGCAATCTCTTTTTGGGAAGAGATGATGCATCTTAAACTTCCTTTGTCCAAAGAGGTCTATTCATCCGTCATGTGTGCTTATAGCAAACAGGCAAGTTCCTTGTAAATGTGATACTTCTTAGTGGAATAATTATAAAATTTCATAACTCTGTTTCCTTCTGTTATTCTTTTTCTTCACATTTTTTGTGTGGTGATTTTTAGGGTCAACTCACAGAAGTAGAATCTACATTTGACTTGATGAAAAAGTCTGCTTATTACCCTGATGTGGTTACATATACTGCAATGGTTCATGCATACAGTGCTGCTGGTAAGATAACTTATTGAGTTATTAACCATTGAAATAATACTATGGTAAATGGGATTTATATATTTTTGGAGTAACTTCCCTAGTGTGTGTTTACCAGGTCATTGGGAAAAAGCATTTGCACTTTCTGAAGAAATGGTTAAAAATGACATCAAACTAGATACTATTGCTTGTGCTGCTCTGATGAGAGCTTTTAATGAAGGAGGCCAACCCAGAAGGGCTCTGAATCTGGCAGAAAGTATGAGAGAAAAAGAGATTCCATTTACTGATGCCATTATCTTTGAATTGGTATCTGCATGTAGCTTGTAAGTTCTAATTATGCCCTGCAATTTACAATGATTTTTCATTGTCTATTCTTTGTGAAACTTCTGGGATTTCCATCTTATCACATTCTCGTGGACTACGTTCTGCTAATCCTAACTGAATTTGCTTATCATCTTCCTGATCTAGGCTTCATTGTGATTCTTTCCTTGGGCAAAATTTAAATAGCTAATTTTTTCTTTATTAGAAGTATATTGATAGATATATAAGGTGGAGAGTTCTTCATTTGTGAGACATAAAGATACTGTTTTGCCTTCCCTCATTTGGTGCAATTATTGCTCATTAAAAAGCATATTTCTTAACTAAGATATTTGATTTTGATGTCTCAATTTGGCTCATTTAAGCACGTGTTGCTTTGTAGATCTTCAACTAGGGTATTTAGATATTTGATTTTGTTTTCTTTTTGCCTTTGCAAATTTTTAATGGTGGACGTAAGTTAGTATCACACTCGCGCATATTTTCTCTGATATTTTTGCTGGAATTTATTTTTTAATTTAATAACTCTGTCTTGCTAAATTTGTCTTTTGCTGTCAGGCTACGTGATTGGAGGATAGCTGATGAACTGATTATTTATATAGAGCCCTTACTTCCTGTAGCTTCAGTTGGACTTATTAATCAGTTCCTGCATTTTTTAGGAAAAAGTGGAAAGACTGAGACCATGATGAAGGTATCAAATCTTCTGTAAAATGTTTATGCTAAATGTTACCATGAAATTTCAACGTGTTTTGCCACTACATTTTATTAAGATCTCTTTTTCCCAGTTAACGCATGATTAATTCCTCAGAACTGAATGCTCATCTGACATTATCTTGCTTTCTGTTCATCTTATTTTCATATACCCAGTTGTTCTACAAAATGGTTGCATCAGGTGCTGACGTTAGCTTTAATACTTATTCTGTTTTACTGAAGAACCTCTTATCCTCTGGGAATTGGAGGAAGGGCATAGAGGTAACCTTAATTTCCTTCACATTCTTTTACATATTGCATTTAGGTGTTCATCTTGCTCTTTCTTGAACATTAATTTAAACATGCATACAGCTTCTAAGTTCTTGGTCTTGGTTGGATGGGGGCAAATTTTTCCCATGATGCCGACAATGGTTTGTAGGATTGTTGCTTGGATTTTGGTAGCTATGTGGAACACATAAATGTAAAAGTTTTATTTGCTGAATATGAACTTTTGTTGCCAAAATTCCTCTCACCCTTTATACAGATTTTATGGAGTCCCGTGCAATATTTTATGGTCATCAGTGATGCTTTTTTTCCCAGTCCAGAACTTGGTAGCTTGTATTATTCTTGTGTTTTCTGGCTGCAGGTCAAAGATACGTATCTGGAACATCACATTTATTCGTTCATTCCTCGTTCCATTTTTATACAAATTCCCTTGGTTATGAATGCTTGTAAAAATTAATGCAAGCTCTTTGTGCAGATCCTGCAATGGATGGAAGATGCAGGAGTTCATCCATCATATGAAATGTACTGTGATATATCTTCATTTGCACGGAAAAGCTGTGGAGCTGAAAGTGCTGCTATCATTAAAGAAAGACTTGGTATGGATATTTACATCATCGCTAGATATTTTTTTACCCGTGTGCACATGCATTCCTTTTATTCTTCCATGACGTTAGCATGTTTGAAATTATTTATATCACCTAATGAACCTGTGAGGTTTTCAAGCATGTGGTTAAGGGAGAGCTGCTTTGGTATAAGCACTCCAGCATCCTCTTTAAACTAGTTAATACTAATGGCTGAAAAGCATTTTGCATTATTGGAAGTCTTTCATGCTTGTAAATTGCAGTACTTTCCCTTTCACGGTCTATGGTGAGCACATGTCAATGGCATAGGCATTGGATTTTGATTGACATGGTATTTTTTTTTTTTTTGGTAAAGTGGCAAATTTAGCCATGGATTATTTTTTCAGGAGGGTCTAGTAGTCTAAATTATTAAGTGATACGAAATAAATTTTCAACTTCAAAAAATGAAACATCCAATAGCCCGTCGTTAACTTTAGTCAACAGCCGTTACGAGAGACCCACAATGACACGTGGCACTCACGGGCACTCCATGTCAACATGTGTAAAGTGCAAATTCGGCGATAAACTATTTTCCAAGGAGTATTGGGTAGCCTCTACTATAAAAATGGACTATCTAACATCTTTCATCAATTTTGACCAAACATCATTTATTTTCATACTCATGAAGCCCACAATACGTCAATTTCTCCAATCTTTTTGCCTTCATTCTCAGTCTCAACTTGACAAGAAGAAGTTCAAAGAGTTTTTATCTAAAAACATTCACAAGGATGGCCAATGAAGTAGAAGTTTGATTTTACTATGTGTGGAAGAAGCTTTTATTCTAGCTTAATTTAACCACGAATTATTTCTTTACTTTGTTGGCATTGTCTTCGTGAATGTCTTCAAACAAGAACTCTTGAAACCTCTTTTTCTCGAGCTGAGACTGAGAATGAAGGGCAAGAAAATTGAAGAGATTGATGCATTGTGAGCTTGATAAGTTTGAAAATAAGCAATGTTTGGTCAAAATTAATGGGAAGGTGTTGGATGATTTATTTTTATAGTAGAGGCTGCCCATTATTCATCAAAAAATAGTTTGTGGCTAAATTTGCACTTTTATACATGCTGATGTGGAGTGCCTGTGGAGTGCCACATGTCATTGTGGGACCCATATAAACGTTTGTCTACTGAAGCTAACCGCAGGCTACTAGATGCTCTATTTTTTAAAGTTGAGGATTTATTTCACACCACTTAATAGTTTAGGCTACAAATACTTCTGGAAAGATAGTAGGTGGTTAAATTTACACCTTTACCCTTTTTTTAAGACTTGGAAAGGGATTACTGTGACAAATATTTTAAACTACAGTAAAAATTGATCTTGAAATCATTTTAGGTGATACAGAATCTTCAACTCTCCAGCTTTATGCTTCATTTTGTAAAATCTCATTATTTTTTCTTTTTAAAGAATTAGTCTTTCTAAAATGTTTAATGACAGTTCTCTTAGCAGGCCTTTTACGTGTTACTGGTGTTGATGGGTTCAAAATATTGGGTCTTTCTTGAACTATTGATCTATTGATTAGAAGAAAATTTAGTTTGGATGTTGCTATAACAAAGTTCAAATCACAATAGACTTGTACAGTCAAGTTTTGTAAGTTCTTCTCTCTCTCTCTCTCTCTCTCAAATTGAGCTATTTAAAGGTATCTACGCCTGCTAATATTTTCAACTAGTGGTAGTTTGTGTTTTTGTTTTCTTAATTACCAAAACTGAAGAGAGATAGTATTTTACAAGACTATAATTGTCTTCTTTGACCATGCCTTTGTTGGTTTTTATTTGTCTGTTTTAGATGTTTTTTACTTAATTGTCTGTCAAGTTAGAGCTTGGTAAGACTGTCATGGCGTTAAGAGATTCTTTTGACTTAAAATTTATTTCGGTCATAAACTTGTACAGAATCCTTGAAAAGGAAATTTAGGGATCAAACGTCCACAAGCCAATCTTCTGGGTCTCGTCTGTTAACTTGATCGCTGATCATGGAACAGTTTTACGTCACCACAACCTGTGTTTCTAGCCTTCCGCAAGAATTGCATTTGAAAGATTAAAGATTATCAGTCTGTTAGATATGAAGTTAATTTAGAATATACCTGCCATTTATTTATCATGATAGTGGAAGGAGTCACCACAAGGAAAGTTATCGGGGTTTGTTTTTTTGTTATAGTAATTTTGACCTGCGCTGTCTGTATGCAAGTTTCTCAACTGCATTGATGTACAGCTAGTAAAATGGAAGTTTTGGCATAGCACCTAAGAATAAACTTGGTCATTTTGTTGTCTGTCTGGCTTGAACCACACTTGAGACTTCTTGTAGCCCATACTAGATTTTACTCTCCATGCGTAGGAAGAGAGATATGGAATGAGTGACATTCCATTATTGAGCTGCAGCCAAGAGTATATTGATGTTCCAAAGCGGCTTTGGGAAGCTTCCGTTCTTTGCAGAGGTTCACCAACCACAAATTGGCCGCCTCAGAGGGCTGGCTGTCCACGTCAGAAATTAGACAGTTATGGTGGATAGGGTTGAAAGCTGTCGCTGACATGCTTTGCAAGAAAATGAAAGATAAAGGGAATTAATTTCAACGAGAGAGAAATGATCGCTTCCGCCGGGAAGATTTCATTTTTGGTTTTTGTATCTAAAAAGCCTTATGGTGTAATCATGTGGCTCTTTGAACCTCAAGGAACGCGCTTAATTTTAATCAAGCACTAGCATTGATGTGTAAGGTCAAAAGTAGCTTCACAGTGAAGATCCCTAAAAAAATTCTCTAAATTTAAATATGAGAACAGCAAGAGTGTATTGATGTTCCAAAGCGGCTTTGGAAAGCTTCCGTTCTTTGCAGGGGTTCACCAACCACAAATTGGCCGCCTCAGAGGGGTGGCTGTCCACGTCAGAAATTAGACGGTTATGGTGGATAGGGTTGAAAAATGTCGTCGCTGACATGCTTTGCAAGAAAATGAAAGATAAAGGGAATTAATTTCAGCGAGAGAGAAATGATCGTTTCCGCCGGGAAGATTTCATTTTTGCTTTTTGCATCTAAAAAGCCTTGTGGTGTAATCATGTGGCTCTTTGAACCTCCAAGGAACACGCTTAATTTTAATCAAGCACTAGCATTCATGTGTAAGGTCAAAAGTAGCTTCACAGTGAAGATCCCTAAAAAAATTCTCTAAATTTAAATGAGAATGGGAACCAAATGACTTGACTTGTATAGCTTTTCATTCAGTAGCAAGAACAATACGGAACACGCATTAAATCGATATCGTATCAAATTTTTGGGCTTCATGATTTGGCTGATTTCTTAACCAGGGCATGAAATTTGGCTTGAGTTTGTTTGGTGTGTCGCGTACTTTTCAGCAATAAATGAAGGTACAAAATTTCTACTATAGTTGTAAGACTAACTTCCAAACAATTCTTGGATTCCTTCTGTCCCTTAAAGAATGTTTTTTCCCCACCATCATGCAATGAAGTGGGTTGCTTTGAGTGGTAGCAGGTAATCCTTGCCTCCTTGTATTTGAAACCAGCAGACAAACGGGACGTGCATGATTATGATCATATCATGATAATACTTTCGAAATTGTCTTAAATGACGTAATTACCCTTTCGGAGTGCTAGCCGTTACTCTGTCCCGAGATTGCCACAGGACCAAACACCCACTCATCATTTTAAATTCGGAGAAGGTTATATCTGTAATTAGAATTGCTTCTTCCTCTCTTAACTGAATTGTTATAGTTCTCTCCCTCCACTGTGAATCAAAATTGAAATACCATCTAAAAAGGGCATACACTGGACTATTCCCTGCATCTCTAGTCTAGGGCTAGGTTTCGATTCTTTCATGGCTTCTTCTTCCTCTGACCCTAGCAAGTCTGAAGTCGGCTGCGGCGGCGGTAATGCAGAGGTTTCGGATGCAGCGGTGGCAAATGATAAGCTCTTACTCTATAGGGGATTGAAGAAAGCGAAGAAAGAAAGAGGGTGTACAGCTAAAGAGCGCATCAGCAAGATGCCTCCTTGCGCTGCGGGGAAACGCAGCTCCATATATCGTGGTGTCACCAGGTACAGAGCTCAATTTTGCGTTTGACTGCTACAAAAGTGATCCTGCAGGATAAATATGTAATTGTAAAGCGAATAGCTGCTTTTTCGTGGATGCAGAGAAACTGAAACCTATTCGTTTTACGTACTCATCAACTTCAATTGCTTGCATAGAGTGAGTCGCTTATGAAGTCATCGTCATGGCGCAAACAGTTTTATTTGATTTTTATTGACACTTCAAAATTTATACCAGTCATGGCAGTGGCAATCAATGTCTTCCGACATACTGCATTGGCATTGCTTTCGCTGGCTTCTAAAGTCTTTACTCTTTAAATTAAAAAATGGTGCCTATCAGGTGTGTGTTTTGATGCATCTCAGAACAACCATCATTATCCGCAATCCTGCCTGTTTTTTTTTTTTTTTTTAAAAAAAGGTTCTATATCTCTGAATGCAGCAAACTAGTGAAACTATTCTTGCAACGCAGGTAACATACTTGCGTCAATTCCACTGAATTCGATGCCATGTCTGGTTTCTTCAAAATAAAGACTACCTATACCTTTTATGCATTACTCAAGCGGAAGAGTGAGCATGGCGTTCTCTCATATGTTGACAAATGACGTGGTTGTAAATGACACTTGAAACGATGTATAAGCAATGTTAAAACGCCTTGGTTAAATGCTTTAAGTCGTCTCACCTTCTGCTATCATTTGACTGCTTTTATATACACACAAACTTACTGTTGAATTTTACGTTCCTTTTAGATTATTGTAAGCTAAAACACTTATTCTTACTATTTTTTTGTTTTTGGGTATTGAACTGTTTATAACACTATTTTTCTCTTTCAAATTATCCTGTAAGTTTCTCCTGCACTGCTTTTGAAATGCAACTTCTTCTCTAAGCATAGAACCATTCTCCTGTTTCTATGAATAAATAGGCATAGGTGGACTGGTCGTTATGAGGCCCATCTTTGGGATAAAAGTACATGGAACCAGAATCAGAATAAAAAGGGAAAACAAGGTTTCTTCTTCTCTCTGGCTTCCTTTCCCTGTCCTCTTTCTGGTCGTGGGTATAGAAAGATATTGTTGAGCACTTGTCATACGAAACTCAAATATCATTACAGTAACTTACATCACTTCATTCTTCTGTTGTACATGGATTGACTGGACAACGATTCATATATGATGTCAGTCTACTTGGGTAAGTTCGCCATATGGTGATTTCTTCCTTCTTTTGTTTCTAATTTCTTTTTGCTTTTCAATTGCTGCGTCATTCATATTGATGCTTATTTCTCATGATATTTCGACAGGTGCATATGATGACGAGGAGGCTGCAGCTAGAGCTTATGACCTCGCTGCTCTGAAATACTGGGGTCCAGGGACTCTAATCAACTTTCCAGTAAGATATTTGCTTGAATAATTTTATTGATGTGGAGGACATAATGCTAGAGAAACAATTTCCTCTCGTTACCCTTATTGTTCTCCCATTGCTCTGAGTTTAAATATGTTTCCCTTTGGAAAAGGCACGTCAACTGTTCTCTTGTTGTTAATACAGTATTTCTGTATAAAATTTTGACATATGTAGGTGACTGATTATGCAAGGGATCTTGAAGAAATGCAAAGTGTTTCAAGAGAGGAATACCTTGCATCTTTACGGCGGTGTGTGTATACTTGACTAAAATGTCTAACATGAAACGATATCTTTGCTTATATGGGATGCTTTCTGCAGGAAGAGCAGTGGTTTTTCTAGAGGAATCTCTAAATATCGTGGACTCTCCAGGTGTTATCTATCAGAAATGGATACAAGATGCATGTGATAAACACACACGTGCACCCACAAATATGTGTATATACTGTCTGTTGATTAGTGTTCAAACTTAAGTAGAAATGTATTATATCGAGTTTGTTAGAGGATTGTTGCCTAGTGAGCTTTGCGCACACTTTGAATTCTAACACTATTTATTTACAAAGAAAAAGAAATCTAGACATTCAAAAAACGTCAACTTTTTTTTTTTTGGGGGGGGGGGGAGATTTTGTATTGGTGAAGAATCAATTTGAGGAAATAAATAATGGACCTCAAAGTATTTTTTTTTTAAGGAATTCAGTTAAATTATATTATTAATTGAATATCTATATTTGAAATTTCATTTAGTTGTCCATACAGAAATTGGCTATTAATAAACTTTTATCTATAAATATTTCCGTCTGTGTTTGTTTGTGTCGTTCTTCAGTGATCTGTGTATCGCATGATATTTGTGTCAATAATTTGCCTCTCTGCTGTATCTTATGAAGTAGCGTATCCGTGTGCAACTATATGTTCTTATGGAGATGTTTGACATTGATTTGATGGTTAAACGTTTATTCTTCATTTTATTTTGCATGTGATGGTACCAAAAAGCAGCCGATGGGAGCCATCGTATGGTCGGATGGCTGGGTCTGATTACTTCAACAGTATGTATTGTGGTAAATATTAATCAAATTTCAAGCCGTCTTTCATTTATAAACTGCAGAGCTGTAACCACAATCTTAACTATGTTTTGTCGATTGAAAAATGTGATTTAATCCAATTTATTCCACCTATTCTTTATCTGCTCACAGCTTCAGATTGTCTCACTGTTTTATTTTATCATAGCTACAGGTGATGATTCAGCAGCAGAAAGCGAATATGTTAGTAGTTTCTGCATAGATCGAAAGATTGATTTAACAAATTACATCAGGTGGTGGGGATCCAATAAAAGCCGCCAACCTGATGCTGGAACAAAATCATCAGAAGAAAAAAAGCAAGGATTTGCTGGAGATGTTTGTGGTGAGCTTAAAACGCTGGAACAGGAAATCCAACCCACTGAGCCATACCAAATGCCACAGTTAGGCTTGCCCCATGATAGGAAAAGGCACAAAAGTTCTGCAGTCTCTGCCTTAAGTATTTTATCACGGTCAGCAGCCTACAAGAGCCAGCAAGAGAAGGCGTTAAAGAGACAAGAAAATTACACAGATAATGATGAGGATGAGAACAAAAATACTATCAACAAGCTGGATCATGGCAAGGCACTTGAGAAATCACCAAATCATAACGGTGGGGATGAAAGACTTGACATTGCAATAGGAGTGAGTGGAGCATTGTCTATTCAAAGAAATGTGTACCCATTGACTTCGTTCTTGTCTGCACCACTTTTGACAGCCTATAATACTGCCGATCCCTTGGTAGATCCTGTTCTATGGACATCTCTTGTTCCTATACTTCCTGGTGGTCTTTCTCAGACAGCCGAGGTTGGTATATCTGCTCAAATATACTTTACCTTCTCTGAAGGATTGGGGGTTACATGATAATTTCATGCTGTTAGAGTAGAACAAATTATAGCTATGCTAGTGCAGCTTCAAATAATGATTTTTACAGATGTTTAAGATAAAAAAAAAAAATCATTAAATACAGCAACAACTTGAACACTAGTAAAATATTACAATATGCACCAGTAATTTTTTTTCAATCTGGTCTCATTGATGGCCAAAAAGAATGGTCCCCTCAGAATAATCTCTGGATATACCATACATTTTGGACCTTTTCCTACTGTGTTTACACCCTTAAAATTAACAAGGCTTTTTCAAACCGATCTTGAGTTTCTCTGCATTGGATCAATGTGTGATGTCATACCACATCACTTGCTGTCTGCATTTTTCTTGAATTTCTCATGGTAATGCTAGCGAGCCAAGTTAACTTCTATGCAATTGATCTGTGGGACAACCTTTCAAACCAATGGCAAGAAAAAATTGTGACACAAGCATGACCTCTTATATGATGCGTAGAATGCATGGCAGCATGGGTAAAGTCTGAATACGTTACTATTCTATCAAATTCTCTTATTGACTGGAGATTAGCTACACTTCTATATGACCCAAATTTCCTATTATTATTCAATGATATATCAATGAAAAGCAGCCGCCTCTGGCATTAAAACCTTATCTGACAATAATGAGATGACGGTTACATTAACAGTTCAAATTTTATCGTCAGTTTTCACCAGAACAATTAATATATCTCCCTTCAGTCCCAGATGACTGTATGGTAATATACAAATTACTATTTGCTTTCCATGTAGATCCACCTCACCACGAACATATATGAATTGATATGCAGGTTACCAAGACTGAGAGCAGTTCAACTTACACCATGTTTCCGCCAGAGGAATGATTCGACATCCCGTTCGGATTCCTAACTTGACGAAGGACAAGGTGCCTTTAATAGGAGTGGGTCCATATGTTCGTCTCTTGGTGTTGTTGAACAGCAGCAGCCTAAGCTTCTGAAGACCTCAACTAGTCCGAGAATGCCCCGAGGTTCAATTTTTGCAGGCATCGTATGGTCCTCTGAGAGTATAGAAAGGAAAATATTGTGTCGTGCATTAGCTTAAATCTTTTCAAGCTATCCAGATGTATTAATTGATATTCAAGTTTGGCCAAAAAAAAAAATTGATATCTCAGTCACATACATAGAAAATAACGGAGTTACACATATAGGGAATCTCTCTCTCTGTTTTTTTTTTTTGGGATGGGGTGATTTTTTTTATTATTGCATGTACAGAATTGGAATAAAAGGCTTGTTGTTGTTGTTGAACAGAATTGAAATAGAAATCACTAACGGGGTAATGGTTATTTGTTAACTATTATCATTATTATTATTTTTATATGAAAAAAAACGAGTTTACCAGATTCTACTGCTTGCTTCAATTTATTGTCAATGGCCTTGCAGCCTGTGTAAGTTTTCTTTGAATTTACATTTCTATATGAAGCATGGTGTTCGTCATTTGCCGTGTATTTTCATTCATACTATAAATGGATTGATTCCAAAAGCTGAGTACACGTGTCAACGGATCATATCACTTGAAAATTTAGATTTTGCATTTTGTTATGTTGTTATTGGATCCTTGCAGCTAGTAGTACCCTTTATGTTTATCTATTTTTGGGGCCTAAAGTTCTCTTATCCTTTCTTCTTCTTCTTCCTCTTCTTTTTTTTTTGACGTGGAAGTACTCTTATCCTTAAAGCGTGAGAGATCGTAAAACCTTTTGAAGCTTATTATATTTGCTTGTACATGAGTGCCAACAAATCTTAATACATGCTCTTGCTCAAAGAAACGAGAACAAATCTTAATATATTTGAATTCTATACTTGACCCACGATTTTATTATTTCTTTTAGATCTTTGTATTAGCATGTTTTTTATCAATCACTTTTAACCTTTAGACTCTGTTTAGTTCAAGAAGAGGGGAAAGAATGGAGGGAAGGTAAGGGGAGGCCCCTTCCCCTTATTTGGTAAAGGGAGGGGAGGGGAGATTTTTTAAAATTTCTCCTCCCCTCCAACTAAACACTACTTTGGAAGTAAAGTCTACCATCATTTGCTTACTCCTTGTGTTGTTCAATTTTAACAAAAGCTCATTATGATTTATAATTGATCATGACTACCAAACAGTAATAATAAATAAATAAATACAAACTTTGATGCATAATATAGGTGTTTTAACATTCAAACATTAAGTATATAAAAACAAAATTGCAGGCAAGAAGATTTTCCATGTCTCTGCTTAAAAAATAAGAAACATATAAACGTTATAAACTAACAATAAAATGATTTCACATGAATAAAAGTTTGTCAAAATCTGCATTCCTTCTCTCCATTTCTATGAGTCATTATCTACATAATGGATGGAACGAACAGTGAATGAGTATTTTTTTTTCCTTGGATAACATTACTTTTGGTCCTTGCATTTTATTTGGATTTTGGTATAAGTTTTTACACTTTATTTTTGGTGTTCTAAGTTCCTAAACTTCCCTCTGCTTGCTACATTGGTCTCTACAATTTCAAAAGGACATTGATGTAACACAAACAGTGTTAATAATATTGACATGTTAATTAACACAAATTACATGTTAAAATGATGATAATGTGAAATTTTTTAACAAGCAAAAATTAAAAAAACCTATATTAGATGAAATAAAAAGGTTGAATTGGACTTTTTAAATGATCAACAAAATGCACAAATTTCATGTAGGCATTTTTTTTAAATTGCTTATTAAAAAGTTCATGTCAGTATTAGTTTAACATATGAGCATAAAATTGATGGTAGTAATTGACATATCAACATTATTAACACTATTTGTGCCACATCAATATCTCCCTAAGAATGTGGGGACTAGTGTTGTAGGCAGAGGAAAATGTAGGGGCTTGAAACGTTAAAAAAATTATAAGGACCTATGTTAAAATTCAAGCAAAATGTAAGGATTAAAACTATTGTTTTTCCTTTAAAAACAAAATACTTACATTTTATTCGTTTTATTTCCGTCCGTGTCCACCATGCTTACCTTACCATACTTGCAAACGAATCCACGTGCATTGGATCAAGTCAGCGTTGAAGGACAATAAGATGGCATTCAAGTTTAAGAAAACATCAATATACCTTAATTGTTATTTACTAATCATCATAATTGTTAGATACAATTATTCCATACTGATCATTTTTTAAATCTGTACCTTTTTTTTTTTTTAAGATGCCTTACCCAATCAAGCAAAGGTCGGTCTAGGAATTTAAATTTGAGAGAATAGCAATGAAAGACTGTTGGAGGAAGTTAAATGTTGTAAAGGGCCAATGCAATTTGAATTCTCTGTGCAGTCTTAGAAGACTAATCTAAAAGTAAGATTGAATGAGAAATGATATAAATAACCTTGACAAGTGAAGAGGAAATATTGTTAAAGGTTGAAAGGAACTACATCGCACTACGGTCAATATCTCCAATACTCCAGCGACGCTACGCATTTGTGCTGGGGAGGAGTGGCCAAGTTTGAAACAAAAAAATAAAATAAAATAAAATAAAAATCATAATCCCTTTAGGTTGTGCACATCATCCTCCTATCCGATGCGACTTTGTACTTGAAAGCTACCGTTCATCTTACATCTATTAATTCATCCTTGTAAGCTCAAGTGTTCATTGTGTTGTTGGTCCAAGCCAATGCGGTTAAATGGTGATATGGATTCATTTAAATTGATTCAAGAGGAGGAATGGTTAATTGAGAATAAGAGTACTCCATTAGCAAAATGAAATTTGATCTGGTAAATGAGTTATTATTCAAGAAAAAATAAGTCTCCATTCCTTTCAAACAACAATCAATCCCTTAATTAACGATTTAGAAAATAACTATTTTTTTTTAAAAAAAATAAGTGCTATAATTTGATGAATAAGTCACTGTTAAAAAAAAAAACTCATTCCATTTTAATAAACATCAATTCCGTAACATTCATAATTTAACCATTTTGCTTGAGAGTATGATATGGCGAACAAGTCATCATCTGAAAAAAATAAACACCCATTCCATTTTAACGAGCATTGATTAAGTAATTAATAAGCCTAGAATATAATACGGAATTGATTGTTGTTGAAAGAGAGTGAAAACTTGTTTCTTTTCAGATGGTAACTTGTTTATTAGACCAAATTACACTTATGCTAATTCAACATTCTTACTCTTAATTGAACATTCCTCCTCTCGAATCGATTTCATATAATATATATCACCATTTAATCCATGAGAAGACGCGACAAAGCACTCTTAAATGACACCACCCTCTTCTCAACATTCATGGCATATTTGTTTTTGACCATTGACAATATATACACTTCAAATTGGATAACAGCAACTAAAGGGGCAACCTATATTGCGCAAAAAACTTGAGAAACGACATTCCAAAACTGCAAAACTCTAACAATATAGTCCTACGAGTGAGGAGGAGTTGAGTTCGCGTTGTTTTAGAAAATGGGTCCTTGGATGCTCAATTTTTTGATAAAAACTTTAGGGCTAACTTGGTCAATTCACATTGAAATTTAATTTCATTTAGGTCCCATAGGTCTTTTGAGAAAATTCAAACTGTGTTGGTTCTTTCCAGCAATTGATTTCCTCCCACAGTTCTTTAATCCGATTTTCCCTTTAAAGTTTGAAGGATAACATATAACATGCGTAATATATAACATGCATAATACCCTGCATCATTTTGCAAATGAAATTCTTGGCATTTTGCATATGATAATTTCTAATTCTATTGTGGATAAATTGGTCCATTGACATCAAAAATCTTGTGTATAAATATACAGACTAAATTTTAAAAATTTGAGAGTGTAATTATTCACATTGATGTATAGAGTTTATTATTAATATATAAAAAATTTATCATTTAAAAAAATTATAAGGTGTTTATCATTAATGTACAATGATATATTAGTAACAAATATAATAAATCAGTTATAGTATGTAAATATAATAAATGTTGAGTTGTTTGTATATTTTGATTTTATAATTGTAATATGAGTTAAATCTGCAAAAGTCTCTTTTATTTGTACCGTTTGAATTATAATAGGAAAGTCTTGGTCCTCAACCAAGATAATAAGATCGTAGGAAGTTTTTTAAAATTAATTTCCATTTTTGTAATGGATAAAAATGTCATCAAAGATACCCACGTTTGTTTCAAGCTAGGATTTGTAAAATTAAAATGCAATTAAATTAAACAAGCAGAAAATGACAAGAACCAGGCCTCCGCATCATATTTATAATTTGTAAATTAAGAAAAAGTCAACAACATTACCAGCCATTAAACTTCATGTATGTTTGGATTACAAAATCTATAATTGAGATTAACAAATTAAAGTTAGAAAAAAAATTTATAACTATAATGTGATTTATGTTTAGATATATTTTTTTTAAAAGTCAGTTGGACAAATTAAAATTGTTTGGATAATTATATTCAAAAGTCAGTTGAAATGTATAATGACAAAAATAGATATAAATTTTATTTTATATATATATATAATTGATTAATTTGATATCTTAGAAAACAAATATTAAGCTTGAGATTATAATTTTTTAAAGAGTAGATTACAAATATAAAATACATCAAAGATCTTAATTTTTAAAAAGGTAGAGTTAAATAATAAAATTCAAAATATCCAAAAAAACTAAAATTAATTTATAAATTATAAAATATTCAATTCATATTATTTACAATTTGGTCTTAATATACAAACCTACAATCTAATCTTGTTATATTTTCTCCCTCTATTTAATTTTTACATATAAGGTCATACTAAATAGAATATATTTTAATTACACGCTCAAGAACATGCACAGGGAGCACTCTCTTCTTCCTCCTCCTCCTCCTCTTCTCCACAAATCAGTGTCATCTCTCTTATACACTCTTTCCCTCCATCTTCTTCTCCCTCTCCCACCACCAACACATCTACTGTCTCCCTCTCTACCTCAACAAATGAAGGAAAGCAACAAAAATAGAGCATAAACGATGATTGACAGGGAGCAACATACAGTCAACGAAAAAAAGGGACGAAGCAATCTTGATAGAACCTACAGAAGCAATCATGATGCCCTCAACTTCCTTGGATGACGGCAGCGAGCACAATGGGCAGTCAGCGATGATGGCGAGAACTAGGAGGTAAAACAGAGCCTGTGAAGATGGGAGGTTGGGCAAACAGAGGATAGCGATCTGGAAGTAAAGATACGAGGAGAGAGAAAAGAATTTGCAATATTCGAACACTCCACCGAATGTTGCATTAAAAAGCTGCTCCTCCCAATTTCTGTGAAAACGCCCGTTCAACCATTAATGCCCGTTTAAGTTTTTTTTAATCCAAACAAGATTTTAATCTGAATAAAAAGCTTTGAATCCTCTAACTGAGGTTTGAACCAACTAACCCTAACTTTAGTTGGAGAGTTGATCAAAACACACTTTTCAAACTTGAAGGGAAGCTGGAAAGAGGGGAAGCGAAAAAGGTGTCCACTGAATGGTAAGTGGTGGATGACACATGTAATATTATATTAAAAAAAAAAATTGGCGAGGTTGGCTTTGTCACGTTGTGTCAGTATGGTAAAATAAAATAAAAAACAGTGCCTGGCTCCCCAGTCATCATGTTCCGCGTCTTGACTCGAAATCATGGTTCTCGTGCGCGTCTGGAAGATTATTATGTTATTATTTAGTTAGTTAATAATCGGAAGAGGACTTTCTTCGTCGTTTTATTATTATTTTATTAATAAAAGATTTTACAAGGCCATCCCCTGGGCCAACTGGTTCTTGTCCCTCTCAATTTCAAGCCGCCCACGTTTGAATTTGATGACCACGCTATTTTTTATTTTTTAATGATATTTTATTACCAACTTAAACTTACTTTCTTTTTACACTTTCTTACTCGTATTTATCAATTATCAATAAAAGGTACTACTATAAACATTAAATTTATCACAATTTTCCAACTGGCAACGGTAATATTGAAAGTGCAATTTTAATGTCCGAGCAATATCAAATTATATTTACGCCATAAAGCTCTAGTTAAATCATTAAATTCTTTTATTTTTAAATAAACTTTTGTGTGGAGAATTTAGTAAATTACATCCATCTATTGTATTTTTAAAGGTTAGTATACCTAATTGGCTGGTGCACCAATATCTGCCTGCCTTAAACTCATAAAATAGGTAAAAAAAAAATCACAGCTTCAAAACTTCTAACATTTAAAATATGACCATTACTTTTCAATAATGCAGAACCACTTGGAGATGAAGGTGGGCAAATGCATCCCCACACCTTAAGAAAAATTACAAATAGGGTGTGTAAATTTTGCAACTTTACACCTTACTCTTAATATTTTACACCTTTTGAATTAAATAAAAAATATTTAAGTTTAAAAACTTATTAAATATGTAATATTTTAATGATCGAAATAAAATAAAGAAGATATTATATAAGAAACCATATTAACATATTCAATATTATTTTCAAAAGGGAAAAATGATAATCAAACTACTAATATTATTACAATTTTAGTCATGGTATAATTATTATTTTAAAAAATTATTAATTTTTAAACTAAATTATCTTACACTCCCTAACTTCAAATTATAGCTCCACCATTATTTTTTAGGTTGTGAGACCCACTCACATATCAGCAGCAGTGAAGAGAAATAAGTGTTGCATCAACATGTAAGTGGATCTTACAACCTAAAAAGTAGCAGCTACTTCTTTTGTTATAAAATATAAGGTATTTTTAATTGAATCTCATCTCTCAATAAAGTAGTTACTTACTTTTCAACTACTCATATCTTTTATATTTACCCTTATTAAATACTTACAATAAATATAAAGTCATTATCAATAGGGGCACTTTTCAAAAAAAAGGTAATAATTATACTTTAAAAAACTAAAAATGCCTTACATTTTTTAACATTTAACTCTTCAAAAAATGTCTTAAATTTTTTAACAGAGAGAGTTTTTATTATTATTTATAAGCCAAGATTTTAAATGCTCAAAATTTAAAAGTTAAGGAAAGCTTTTGCCCATTCCATGAGTTTAGAGTCAATAATACTTTTTGCGTAATAATTTATGAATATATTGCTTGTTAATTCTATTTTCAATGATATTTTATTGATAATTTAAACTTACTTTCTTTTTTCATTTTTTTACCTGCATGTATTGTTGTCAAACTTTTGAGTTAATTTATGACTTTATTTTTTTTTTACATTTATAGTTTATAAAATCACGTTAACTCGTACATAAAACTCAATCAAACTCACTAGTTGATTTTCCAAATTTATATTTTTATATTTTTGACTTATAAAATTGTATCAATTTGCTCATAAACTCATTGAATAAGACATGTATATATTGCGTAGAACTTAATTCATAGAAGTTGTAGGATAAATTTCAAGAAAAAACAAACTAAAAAAATTAATATTAATAAAAAAGAAAAAAAAAATACAAAAAATAAGTTGCTTTATTTTAAAATTTATATGTTGAATATAATAATCTATGAACGTAAGTAAATTTAATTTTAATGATTTATATTTAAAATATATTTAAATTAAATTATGATCATATTTTATATTTTAATTATTTAATCATATGCTTTTAAAATTATTAATTAACAGAGATAAATTATTATGAATTTATGTTTTGAATTTATATTTATAATGAATTTACTTGGTCCATATGTATGAATTATCAGTAAAAAGTATGAACATTAAATTGGTAGTCAATTTTACAACTTTTTGTGGGAAACCTTAGCGTGAAGAATGCGGTAAACCATATACAACGACAACAACGATAATAATTTACTACTACTTTCCCGTTTTATTTACTACATCGTGATGTTTCCGTAGTGTAATTAATTAAAACCTAAAAAACTAAAATAAAAGGTTTAAGGAACACGAAACATCCGCCAAAAAAAAAAAAAAAGCAAAAGGAAAAAAGAAAAAGGGACCAAAGTTAAGAAGGAAAGACCTCCGAACGCCTGCTCCTCCGGTGTTCCTGAGTCTCTCTCAAGCACTTGTCTCTTTATTCTGCCTTCCCATTTGAAGCCATCATGCCATGGCTCTGATAATCTGAAGGAATTGTAGGGTTTGCAGCGATGGGCACTGCGAGGAGGCAATTAAAGGTCATGCTATGGAAGAACTGGCTTCTCAAAATTCGTCATCCGTTTGCAACAAGCGCTGAGGTTGATTGTTCATTAATCTCTTTCCCGCCTTTCTCTTGTATTCTAACTCTCTAAGTAGTTCCTGCTTTGATCTTATTTGCATGTTTCTCTAACCTGTTCCTTTTGACTCTGTATTTGTACTTTGATAATTTATCCTTTCTTTGTTTTCACATTTTACCCCATCCGTGTTTTGAGTGAACGTGGAGTTGAGTGATGTGATGCTTGCATTGAACGATCCTTGTTTGCTTTTTTCTGAGAGTAAGGTAGTCTACGGCTTGAAGCTGTTGCTTTGCTATTAGTTTTTACTTACCTGTTATGTACCGGGTAATTTCGATTTTATGTTCCTGATGTAAGGAGTGAATAGTGGGAGGCGGCTGTCTCTGATAGATTTGATGTTGTTTCACTGATAATGTGGGCGCGTGTGCTTGTTTCCCTTCTAATTTCGTCAACAGAAGTATTGTTCATTTGAATTCGGTCAAGAAGGACTCATCAATGTAAGAGTTCTGACACATCACTCAATGGTTGACAGGTTTTGCTCCCAACTTTAGTGATGTTGCTGTTAATAGCTGTAAGGACTCGGGTTGATACGCAAATTCATCCCGCACAACCGTGAGCGTTCCCTTTCTACTTCTCTTTCTCTATCTATTATTTTCTGGAAAAAAAAACTATTATTTGCTTCTGAGTGTTACCTTTTTTTCGTCTCTCACATTTAGGAACTCGAGGGAGAGAATAGAGTATATAAGCGTGAAATCGTGTTTAAATTTGAATCCCATTTTATATCTGTAGTAAATTCAATTTGATTTCACTATTTGATCTATATGGAAGGAAAGCGAAGCAAATAACGTCTTTTTTAATTTTATCCTTTTCAATATTTTTATTAGAGAATGTTTTTATGAAAATGGAACAGGCATATCCGAGAAGGGATGTATGTAGAAGTGGGCAGGGGTATTTCTCCTAGCTTCCAACAAGTATTGGAAGTTTTGTCGGCAAAGAGAGAGTATTTAGCTTTTGCCCCTAATACAACAGAAACTGAGCAAATGATAGACATAATGTCAATAAAATTTCCCCTCTTGAAGGTACCTCCTCGTTTTCTGTTATCTTGTGGTTTTATGAGCTTAATTTTCTTGATTGATTTGTGCAATATTTTTCTTTGCTAGCTTTTCTATTTTTAACTTCTCACTTTTGGATTGAGCTTTACTGTGGTTGAGTGATTGTGTTTGATTAGTGTTGTTGCTTAGTCTTTTTCTTCTGTTAGTTTAGTTAGTCTATCTGTGTCTATTGCTCCTTCTTGCACGTAGAGAACTGAAATGGTCCTTTCTATGTTGTACATTGAATTTGCCTGCCTTTTAAATGGTCCTAAATTTAAAACAATCTCAGCGTAATGAGTGATCTTCATTTTTATATTTATTGCATTTTGTTTTAGGGGATTAGGAATCTGAAATAAATATTTATGGCGATGATAGAAGTGTATTACAATACTTTTCAAGTGCATAGAATTCAATGTGCTGTCATAATATATGCTAGTTTGAATTGCCCATGGCTCCATGAAAATGAAAATCTCAAAACTAGTTCTCTAGAAACCACCTTATTGCAAAATAAGTATAGTGAACACTCGTTTTTGTGTTCTCCATTCACGTTCCTTATAAATAATTTTCACAAATCAAGCGAATTAAATTTTGGTCATGATTGTTGAGCTAAAAAAATGGAAAAAAACCCGGGTCATGATTTGCAGCTTGTCAGTAAAATATACAAAGATGAGGCAGAGCTGGAGACTTACATACGCTCAGACATTTATGGTACCAGCAATCAGGCAAGGTAAACTCTTCCGTGGCATTAAAGGCTATATGATGGATTTTAAGGTCAATTATTGGGTCAGTTGCATGGTTAAATTGAAATTTAAGTCATATGTTGTTTTTGATTGATTGAAATAGCAGATACGATACTAATAAACTTGTTTAGATAGGTTTAAAAGTCTGATATTTCTCCATAACAGAGATATCTAGGTTTTTTGAAATTAAGCGACTTTGCAAATCATCATTTCTTTGGTTATATCCTGGTATAGATGCACTATAGGATCTTTTATTATGGTCTCTAGTAATCTTGACAGACATTGCCTGTTAATAATGCTTGAGGTGTTATTAGACAATTGAAATTAGAGTTTTCCGGTTGCTTTGTGGGCTTCTTCTTGCTTGCATTTATTTATTTATTATTTATGTTACATTGTTCTAACAACAGTTAGGTTTGGGTGATTATGCTACAGTTCTCTCAGCCTTTTTGTTTTTTGGTTGGTGTGTGTGGATAAATGACATACTCACATGACTAGGTCTTATAGGTTAATTTTATTTCCAGAAGAGTTTTTATTTAAGATATGCAGAGGAATAGGAGCATATTATAGAATCTCTGGCTTTTTTATTGCTACTTTATCATCTTCTATTTTGTGCTTCTGTTAATGAGTCATGTTACTGTTCTACCTCCCTCATAATCTTTACTTTTTTCGTATTTTTGTTTTTTAAAAAAAGCTTAAGATGTGATGTGCAAATGTAGCAAATTTAGTAGTCATTAGAGTTTTGTTGATAAGTCGTAATGAGTTGATTCACTGATAATTTTTACACTTTTACTTTCTTTCTGTTTAGGAATTGTTCATATCCAAAAATCAAAGGAGCAGTGGTATTCCATGAACAAGGTCCTAAGTCATTTGATTACAGCATACGCCTCAATCACACATGGGCTTTCTCTGGTTTTCCTGATGTTAAGACCATTATGGATACAAATGGTCCTTTTGTCCATGACTTGGAACTTGGTGTTAGTGCAATACCAACAATGCAGTACAGCTTCAGTGGGTTTTTGACTGTATGTTTCACTTTCTTCCCATTCTTTGTTGTTTTTGTCACCGAAGAAATATTATTGGAAAGAGATCAGAATTTGTTTGTTGAGGAAAACATATCAGTTAGAAGGAAGAAAAAAAAAGGGGGATAAAACAGAAAACTAATAGGATCTAGAATGCAACAAGGCAACCCAATCTTTCTATTTATTTGGCACCTTTTGAAGAAGATATAAGAACACCAAGGTATGCCAATTATCCCACCTTTGTTGCCCCTTTGTTGCGGAAGTGATGAATGATGCAATTGATACAAGCTCTCCTTATGGCTAAGTAGCCTGGAAAGGCTACATGTTACAAGAGTTTTGGCCTCTCCTAATTCTTGCCAAACCTTTGTACAGCTGACTAATCAACAAATAACTAATTAATTACTGTATGTGAATTTCATATGATTTAGAGAGCTAGTTATGTCCGTTGTCATATTCAAGGACATAATTAAGGAACATCTAATGGAGGAATTTGGTGATTTAGGAAGTTATCCAAGCCCAAGACCTTGATACTAATTTGCTTTCAGTAGTTATGTCCTTTTCTACTGATGCCTCCTCTAGAATCATTTTTACTCATACCTTTTTATATTTTGCAACATATACTTGTCTTGATTAACTGGAACCTCCTTTAAGGTCAATAAGATGGCAAGCCCAATGTTCATAATAAATATCCAGATCTGGAAAAAGAGTTGCAGTTGGTACGTCATTAATAAATTATCTTATTGAGTTGTAAACCTTGAATTTTTTTGTCTTGGAAGGAGCCTTGATTCCAAGTGATATGTCATTTGGCTATCAAGCTGGCATGTGGAATTTAAGAGAAAAGAATATTTCCCATTCATTATAATTTTGGGGTAAATATTAGCTATATATAGGAGGGACAATAAATACTAATAGTGTTTAATTAAAGCCTAATCAATACTAATAAAGGTTATACAATATTTAAAATAAATATAAAATATTCCCACACGTTCCTTCAAGTTGGATCATAGATACTAGCCATGCCCCACTTCCTTAGGCAATTCTCAAATGCAGGTCCAAGTAAGCCTTTAGTCAAAACATTAGTTGCTTGCAACTTTGTAGGCAAATATGTCAAACACAGAGTTCCTTCTTCCACTTTTTCTCTAATGAAGTATTGATCTATCTCAACATGTTTAGACTTGTCATGTACTAGATTTAAGGCCATGCTTATGGCAGCTTTATTATCACAATAGAGCTTTAATGGTGAGCTTGCTCTAACCTATATTTCATCCAAGACTCATTTTAGCCACAATTCCTTTGTTATTGCTTGAGCCAGTGCTCTCAATTCGGATTCAGCACTGCTTTTTGAAACAATTCTTTGCTTATGGCTTCTCTATGTAACTAAATTTCCCCACACGAATGAACAATAGTCAGAGGTTGACCTTTGATCTTTATAGGTTCCACCCTAACTTGCATTGGTGTAAACTTCTATGAATCTTTACTCATGTTTTCTGAAGAACAAACTCTACCAGGAATACCTTTCAGGTATCTCAAAATCCTGTTGATTACCTCCATATAACTCTTCATTGGGTGGCTCATATATTGACTGGCTACACTAACATTGAATGCTATATTTGGCCTCGTATGAGAAAGATATATCAACTTTCCAACCAGCTTCTAATATCTCTCCTTTTGCTTAGGCTTCTTTGGTTTTCTTGATCTCAGTAGGGGTTTTAACAAGTCTACAACTCAACATACCCGCCTTTAGAGATCAAGTATATATTTTTTTGAGAAACATAGATTCCTCCTTTTGACCTAGCAACTTCCATCCTAAGAAAATATTTTAGCTTCCTAAGACCTTTGACTTCAAATTCCTAGCCAAGGGCTGCCCCTACTCTCTATTTCTTTAAGGTGATCTCTAGTGAGTATTATGTCATCAACATAGACAATAAGGATACATTTCTTCCCTCCCTCGACTTTGACAAATATTGTATGATCCAATAGGGCTTGCTTATAACTTTTGGGCTTTAGGACTCCTGAGAACCTATCAAACTAAGCTCTTAATGATTGTTTCAAACCTTATGTAGACTTTTCAATTTACAGACTTGATTTTCTTTGTCTTTATTGAACTCGGGAGGTAGAGTCATGTAGACTCCTCCTCAACTCTTCATTCAGAAATGCATTTTTAATACCAAGTTAGTGAAGAGGCCACTCAAGATTAGCTGCTACGGACAATAAGACTGTGATAGTGTTTAATTTTGCCACTGGAGCAAATGTTTCTTCATAGTTTGGACCATATCTTTGGGTAAACCTTTTTTCAACCAAACGTGCTTTCACCCTCTTACAACTCACTGTTCCTTTTCCTTTAGGTAGCTGAACAAGTTCCCATGTCCCATTCTTTTCTAGGCCCCTCATTTCTTTCGTGACAACGGTTCTCCATTCAGGGATGTTTAAAGCTTCCTTTATTGTCTCAGGTACCTTCAACTTATTTAGATCAATAACAAAAGCTTGATATTGAGGAGAAAGCGCATCGCATGAAACAAACCTCTTTATTGGATGGAAAGTACATGAGTGAGGTTGCTTCCTCAAAGCTATAGGAAGGTCAAGATCAATGGATGCACTTACTTGTTCTATAGTATCTAGCTTTGGGGTTTTAGGAGTTGCCCAAATTTTAAGTCTGTTGAATTTTGCTTTAAGAGCTACTTCTGGTTTCGACTCTTTTGGTGCTTTGGGTAAAAGTTGCTCACTATTTTTAGGTTTCTTTTTCTGAGTGTAGACTAACAATTCTCCCTTTTTTGGTCTTTCTGCATCTCCTCCTATTTAAGTATGCTCATTAGCTTGTGGCATAAGAGGAGTGGTTGTTGATGATGAAGTAGATGAAGGCAATGGTTCATGTTTAGGTAGTGGTTGGGATAATGGCTCAGTTGGTGTAATCCATAGTTCAAGAAGGACTTGTTCTCTATTAGGTTCTTATTTTCAAGTCTAAGATTTGTCTATCCTCTCCCCTTAAATTGAAGAATTGGGATAGAAAGGAGTATCTTCATGAAAAGTGTCATCAAGGCTAACAAATGTGTATTTGAAATAGGGTCAAAACATCTGTATCCTTTCTGAGTAGCAGAATAGCCAAGAAGTATACACTTGGTCGCTTGAGATTCAAATTTATTGCTTTGGTGGTTATGGACAAAGGCGGTGCAACCAAACACTTGAAGTGGAAGATTGGTTTCAATATGGGATGTGGAAAATACACCTTGCAATTTCTAGAGAGGAGTTCTAAAGGATAAGATTCGATTGGGCATATGATTGATTAGGTAAGTGGTGGTCAAAATAGCATTTCCCCAATAAAACTTGGGTACATTGTAATTAAACATAAGTGCCCTGGCAACATCAAGTACATGATGATTTTTTCTTTCTACAACCTCATTTTGTTGGGGTGTATAGGCACATGAACTAGCATGGACAATACCATGCATTTGGAGGAAGGCACTCGAAGATAGGTTAAAGTACTTAGTCCTATTGTCCATGTGTAAGACTTGGATGGTGGTATTGAATTGGGTTTTGATCATAGTGAAGAAATTCATAAATACAGATGCAGCCTCATACTTGTTTTTTAAAAGATAAACCCAACAGACACAAGTATTGTCATCAATGAAAGAAATGAACCACACCATTTTAGTACGATCGGGAGTATGAGATGGTCCCACAAGTCACTGTGAATAGTTGGTTGGTGAGTATTTGTCTCTAGGGAATGAAGTTTTATGGTGTTTGGCAAGTTTACACACTTCACAATGGATTTTATTAACATTCAAGTGTGGAGATAACATTAGGAACAATCGTTGGAGGTAATGAAAATTAGGATGACCCCTCCTTTTATGCCATAACATAAAATCATTAACTTTAGAGGCACATGCAAAGTTACCAACAATTGGGGAGTTACCCACTCAAGCCACAGCTTCAAAATAGTAGAACCCTTCATACTCCGTAGCAATTTTGATTGTTGCTGCATATGATGAATTTTGAAACACAATGAGATGAAAGGAATTTAGCACAACAATTTGACTGCTTGGTCAATTGACTGAGGGAAAGTAAATTGCAACTAAGTTTAGGCACATGGAGTATAGATTCCAACATTATGGAGTCTGAGATTCGAATGCTCCCTTTTTCCACTATAGGTGCTAAGGAACTATCTACAATCTTCACTTTAACATTCCCAGCACATAGGGTGTAAGTGGTAAACAACTAGTGACAATTAGTCATATGATTGAAGGCTTCAGAATCAACAATCCATATCATTTAATTTTGTGACAATGTTAAAGCCTGAAGGAAAGTCCTATGTTTTGCCGCTATTGCTATACATGTAGAACTAGACATAATAGGTCTGATGCTCAAGGTACCCATAAGAGCACTCCCATCACTTCAGATAAAGTTGATCTCTTATGATATAATTGAAACAGAGGCCACAACCCTACGAACATGAGACTCCAACCCAAAATAGTGTGCACATAACCTGGAAGATGTGAAAGAAGGGTGCCCAGACATAGGAGGGGTTGGGATCTGACCAGAAATGGGATATCTTTGTTGGTGAGAGCAGTCGCTGCCAGACTTGAGCGAACATGCGCCTCCACACGCTGGGCAAACCTCTCTGGCACAGATCTTTGAAGTGGTGCGTGTAGCTTACACACTCCGCCATTTGGCTTCATTTTCCTGTGGTTGGCTGATTGGTACCTCTTGATCACCTTAGGGCTGGCGGTGAGAGTCTAGACATGCTCCACCATTGTCCACACGAAAGCCCTCAGGTATTGTAGAGGAGGTTGAAAACCCTAATTTTTATTTCGAGCCTGTGCTTTGATATCATATGGAATTTGAGGGAAAAGAATATTGCTCATTCATTATAATTCTGAGGCACATATTAGCTATATTTACAGGAGGGACAATAAATACTAATAATGTCTAATAAATACTAATAAAGGCTATACAATGTTTATAAAAAATATCAAATATTCCCACATGGCATGATTATGTTTTGAAAAACTAAAACGTGTTTCAAGATTAGTTAGATGGCTAGCCCAAAGTTCACTTAAAATACACATTTAGGAAAAGGGCTGCAGTTGGCATGTCATTAGTATCTAATCTTATTGAGTACTAAACAAATGATTTTTTTTTTGGGGGTCTTAGAAGAAGCCTTGATTTTGAATTGATGCCATTTTGGTGGGCAGGCATGCAAATCAGAAGTGTTTTTACTCTAATCACCACACATATCCTAATTTAGGGTTTGAACTCTGGTCACCTACACCCCACACCAACCTATTTTATTGTTCTTGTATGGGATTGTTTGTATAGTTTAGCACCCATTTGTCTCCTTGCACCCATCTTTTACGAGATTTCAGGTTTCATTTCTTCTATATATAAATTGAATGAGAGAGAGTGAGCAATGTATTGTGTTATATCTTTTTTGGTGTTTTACATGTCAGTTTATAAGTTATTTAAATACTCTTTCATTGTTTTATAGATTGTTTATGTAGATTTATACTACAATTTTGTTTCCACCTGTCTCTTGTTGCACCCATCTCTTTCAAAATTTGAGGCTTCACTGTCTCCTTCCTTGAAACTAATATGGTTTAGGATTTTCTGCAGCTCCAACAAGTTGTTGATTCATTTATAATATTCATGGCTCAGCAGTCTGACATAACCCCTAGCACTGGAAGTGTAGAGCATCCTCTGCCACGCTCCAATGATACTGATTTTTCTTTCAAAATTCCTTGGACTCAGTTTAGCCCTGCACACATACGATTGGCTCCATTTCCCACTCGAGAGTACACTGATGATCAGTTCCAGTCAATGTGAAGAATTTCATGGGGATTTTGTAAGCTTCTCTCCAATAATTTTATATTCTATCTAATATATTCTATTCATAAGAACACTTCTTTAAAATATCCAACGAGATATATCTTTTCTTTGGGACTTTGGTGTGCAGGTACTTATTGGGATTTCTGTATCCAATTTCTCGACTGATCAGTTATTCTGTGTTTGAGAAGGTTTGCTAACAAAATGTTTTAAAATTAGTCAGCTGATTTACCTATGCCCTTCACTGTTTGTTGTACAAGTGTGTTTTTACATTTAAATTTTTCTTTTTTATTAGATCGCTGTCCTCACAATTTATGTTTTAGGAGTCTTTCACTTTTTTGAGTTCTTCACCTAAAATATTGGTCCAAAATTCCAGGAGCAGAAAATTAAGGAAGGGCTCTACATGATGGGCCTGAAAGATGGTGTGTTCCATCTCTCATGGTTTATAACATATTCTTTGCAGGTAAACTTTGGCCATTCCTTTTTATGTTATGTTATTCTGTGTATTTTTTTTTTGCGTTGAAACTATATCACCAAAAATAGTTCAGCCCATGCTTTTCCCTTATGGCATAAATTTATTGGGAGATCCAACCATATAAGAAGGGGCATTCTGATAATGAACTTGAGACCTCAGACACATTACATGAGAACTATACCAATAGAGCTGGGGGTGCAAAATGCTCGAGATGGAACAGCTGAATAATATACCTATAATATGGTCTTTTTTGTGGAAAAGCTAGGATTTAACTTTCTCATTACAGATCCTTTTGGGTTTGTCCTGCTGATCTATAGCTATCAAGTTTTTAGGAACAATGAGGAGAATAAAATCCTTTGACCATGTGCTGATTTTGGGATTCCTTGTGGGTTTCATGAATTTTTTATTTTTGAACTTTACGCTGTGTTTTCTTTTGCCAAATATAAAAACCATGGTTGAATAAGTGACAATTATGAATGAAATGGTTTCAACGTTGTGATATTAATAGAGATGGCTAAGTTTTGTGGCAATATGCAGTTTTCACTTTGATTTGGGGTTATCTGGTTGGAAAGAAATGTTCAAAGATTTATAGGTGTCAACTCTAGTTGATTTACAGAAAAAGGGTCCTATTCTTGCATCTCACTTGTGTTCTCCTCCCTTTTTCCAGTTTTTTTCCCTGTCAGGTAATAGGGATGGGGAGGCATCATCATTTTTTAAGATCAAGTGTTCTTTTCTTTGTATTTGCTATTTTGTTTTCTTCTCTTTTAGGATGCTGTCTTATCTTCCTTTCCCATAATTCTCTCAATCTAACAATTTACTTTCCCCCTATCTAGTCTAAGCTACCTCACAAAGTCAGAACCTTACCTCATCTGCTCCACTCATTTGGATTGTGTTTATGGTTCTACAATTTGGTTTCTTTACAGTTTGCAATCTCTTCTGGAATCATCACAGCTTGCACAATGGACAATTTATTCAAGTATAGCGATAAGACACTGGTGTTTGCGTACTTCTTCCTTTTTGGGCTTAGTGCAATTATGTTGTCATTTTTGATATCAACATTTTTCAAACGGGCCAAAACAGCTGTAGCAGTTGGAACCCTTTCTTTCCTTGGTGGTTTTTTCCCTTATTACACTGTGTATGATGAGGCAGTCTCTATGTAAGTGTTTGAGCTACTGGTAATTATAATTATTTTTTCACTATCCAAAATTGTATATTCCCAGCTGCTGATTTAATTGATTTGAGGTTGCCACCATTAGTGTCTTGAAGATTATTGCTTCTTTGCTCTCACCCACGGCTTTTGCTCTGGGGTCTATCAATTTTGCTGATTATGAGCGTGCTCATGTTGGACTTCGTTGGAGCAACATATGGCGGGCAAGTCTCTACAATCAGGGCCTTTCCTTTCTTATTTGAAGCTATTTTTTTGGCCGAAACTTAATAACATACTAATGTTACAGGATTCATCTGGAGTAAATTTTTTGTTCTGTTTTCTGATGATGCTTATTGATACTGCTGTATTGTGCGATTGGTCTTTATCTTGATAAGGTATGTCTTTGATTAGTTGAATCTATCTGCTGATTTTAGCTTGATTAGTCTAGAAGGGGACTGTAGTTTTTATTTAGTGTTCATTGTTCATCTCCTTCCTCCCTGTATGCCAGCATCTGTCAAGGAGTCCATTTCAATTCTACGCTGCTTGCCAGGGAAAATAAGCATTCAAGTATAGAAAGATATACCCAATATTTATATAATTTTATGTTCTCTTTCTCATCATGAAGGTTCTTCCAAGGGAGTATGGATCACAATATTCATGGAACTTTATTTTCCAAAAAGGCTTTTGGAGGGAGAAACAAGTTGTAAAACATTGTTCCTCCAGTTCAGACATAGAAATTGCTGATAGGATTCCCAAGTCAAAAGAAAAATTTCCAGTGGTAAATGCTTTCAAACCTGCTATAGAAGCAATAAGTTTGGACATGAAACAACAGGAGCTGGATGGCAGGTTTGTCTCATGCAGCAGATGTGCATCAGTTGTGGTGCTATTTGACATTTTTTGTTAGGCTGATTTTCTTTTATTTCTGTTTTGAAAACTATAGGTGCATTAAAATTAGGGATTTGCATAAACTGTATACTTCTAAAAAGGGGGCTTGCTGCGCTGTTAACTCATTACGACTTACGTTGTATGAAAATCAAATTCTTGCTCTTCTAGGTATGTAGTCTAATCTATTCCTTTGGTGACATTTTGTGGTTTGGTCTATTTATTGTTCTATTAAAAAAATTAATATCTTAAACTTTGATGTTTTGATAATTGTCATTCTCTACAAGAGTTTGAAAAATTTATTTCAAGTATCGCCTCTTGAAATCTAGTGTTTATGGGTGATGGCTCCCTGTGCTTGTTGTAAGTTGTCAACTTAGATTGATAGAATTTTAGGTCTTCTAGTGTCTGAATTTTCCTTTTCCCCCCTATTTATGCTCCTTAGTTCCATTCTGCAGACAGAATTGATAGTGAGTTTTGCTGCATCCTTTCCTTCATTGTTTCATTGTTTCACGGGGATATCTTATCCTCCACAATTCGCTTCTCTATTTTAACAAGCTTTGTGTCTATGTCAAATGCTTGCTGATATGTATGTATTTTGCATGTTGATTAAAAGGGCACAATGGAGCTGGAAAAAGCACAACAATCTCAATGCTCGTTGGTCTTCTTCCTCCTACTTCAGGGGATGCTTTGGTGTTAGGAAATAATATTTTAACTGATATTGTAAGTTGTAGTGGTTTGCTACCTTGCTTTGGTTTATTGAATTATGATAGTCCTAAATGTCCTCCAATAAAAGAAAGTGTCATCAATGTTACAGTAGTGTAAATTTAGTGACCTTGTATTATCAAATAATATTTGAATGATGTTGGCTCACGTATATACTAATCAGGTGATTTACTTGCCTCCTTAATGTGAATATAATAATTTGAAGCTTTAATCTTTGAGAGTATTTACATGAAGTTATCTCTTCTGCTGTCAGTGGGAAAGTCATCTACATCTATCGGAGAAATTGTATTGATAATTTTCTTGATCTTTTGTTCATTCAAATTTCAACTCTCTTGCTCTGTAGGATGAGATACGGAAGGTTTTAGGCGTCTGCCCTCAAAATGACATACTTTTTCCCGAATTGACTGTAAGTTGTATTTACTATTTTTCTCTAGTGTGATAAGTGTTTCTGTTCAATTAAACGTTGGATGCTGATTGTAGAATGCTAATTAATACGTTTTTGCCTATTTGCAAATGCATTTCTTCTGATGCTTATGCCTAATTTAAAGCTTGAAATATTCAGAGATTTTCTTTTCATAATTCTGTCGGTTGCATTCTTTGATGGCAAAGTGGGATTGGGGGTGAACGTGGAGAAATTAGAGCCTAACTTTCTAATAAATATATATCAACAAGTTAAACATAAATTCCTGTTATTGTTTTCCCTCCGCTAACATGCAATCTTTTGAATTATTTTATTATTATATAAGTTGCCCTGCAAATTTTTCTGGGACTAGTTTGTTTATATATGTATTTTTGGCTGTGAAGAGATAGTCTAGTTTATAATGTATGAGAGCAAGTCTATATGCTTTTTATGCAGGAGCTAATGTCAGACCTAGTCGAGTCTCATTTTTTAATGTTATGTTGGAACGGTCTGTATGCTTTTTGCATAGGGACTTACTACTAGCTACCTCAGTGGATAGAGTTTTAAGCTGCTTCTAACATACTGTGTCTCTTTCACTGCTAAAAAATTACCATGTCTCAGACCTATTTAGTCTTTTAACCACTGTATTCCCTCTATGTGATGAGCTTTGTTCTGATTTAATGGCCTTCATGATTAGAGTGGGCAGCTCCTGCATTGCCATATCATTAACAACACTGATCATATGATCTATCTCTCCACTTATATATATGTATATATATATCTTGGGAATTTCTTTCATTAAAGAAAGGGAAAGCCTCAAAATCCCTTGGCAGAGGAGTGGGGTAAGAGGAAATGCATACTGGTACCAAAAACTGTGATGCTGATAATTAGCTGAAATCTGATGCTATTGGAGGTTCAGTTAGTTTGCAGTTTTGATGGCAAAAGTTTTACCCATTGGAACAATATCTTTGTTCTAATTTTGTTGAATTGGAACATAGAGTACAATAAGGCATGATGGAAGTGAGATTTGGTTGTTTTTATCTAGTTTGCATGGAAAGAGCAGAATATTTAAATCTTTGGATGGAGAATTTTGTGCTTGCATTTTGTAGGGAGCAGAACCTTTTTTATACACTATTTCACTCTGCTCTATGTAAGTACTCAGATGAGAGTATTGTTAATATTTATAATTTATAACGTTTTCTAGTCATTTAGTTTTTGATAATTTTTCTTTATAAGGTAAATCTTTACATTTTACATTTTGCAACGTTCTGACTTTTCATGAACTTGATTATACAGGTAAGAGAGCATCTTGAAATATTTGCGGTATTAAAGGGTGTAGAGGAAGACACTTTGAAGGATGTTGTTTCCAATATGGTAGATGAGGTGAGTTTATTATTTCTCAGCTATTATATTAGGAAGACTCTCTGCATAAACCAATATATGTTTATATTTCAGAAAATCTTTTCTTTCGTCTGAACGCAATTCTGGTCTAAATGGTGCAAAACAGAATCATACAAACTGGATTTTGCTTGGAAAAACTTTTAAAGCCTAACTACTGCTTCCATTTTAGCTTGGTTAGGTCATTCTTCTACTTTGGTGGCTGCATGGTGGCTGCATTGCTAATATGCAGTCTTTTCTTTCTGTAAAATGGTTATGGCGGTTTCCACTTGAAACATCTCTAGTATCAAGGTAGCACTGTTAAAAGGATTAGAGAATTAATGAATCTCTTGCAATCCCTCATCTTGTCTGGGATAGTTTGATGTGCTTCGTTAATCTATAGTAAAACCATTTTATGAATATGTATGACTAGAGTTCAATTTTTCACTTTAGATTTTTTATTTCCTCAATGATTTTCTTCTTGGTTATTTGGTTTGCAACCAACTTGGTTAATTTGTTTCTATTGCTTGGACAGGTAGGTTTAGCTGATAAAATTAACACTCTAGTGGGAGCTCTTTCTGGTGGCATGAAGAGGAAACTGTCTCTTGGAATTGCATTGATAGGAAACAGCAAGGTTGTGTTTATATTGAAGGCTCATCCTTGTCTATTCATATGTTGGACAAAACTAGAATATTTTGGTTTTCCTTTGCAGGTTATAGTTCTTGATGAGCCTACTAGTGGAATGGACCCATACTCAATGCGCTTGACTTGGCAGTTAATTAAAAAAATAAAAAAAGGAAGGATAATATTACTGACAACACATTCTATGGATGAAGCCGATGAACTAGGTGATCGGATAGCTATCATGGCCAATGGTTCTTTGAAATGCTGTGGAAGGTTATTTTCATTCAAGTATTCTTTCTTATGGTTTTGGAGCTTCATGAAGCAAGTATGAATAATGAATATTACATGGAATTTAATTTTTAGGATTGGTTCTAAGTTTTTTTGGTAATGAAAAAAATGTCCAGTAGGAGGAGAAAATGATCTTTCTTTTCTCCCTTTTAAATTTCTTCTGTAGGTTTATAATTGATAGATACAATGAATATGCCCTAACATTTGGCTTTCTGTTTATGATGGAACCCTCTACGCTAATAAACTTAAAACAAGCAAAAATACAGAAAAATACACAGAAAAGGGACTAAACAGAATAATGGAGTTGTATTACCAGCAAAATAATGAACTAAAAGTACAGAGTACATGAAACAACACAAAATACAACCCAGTACAGCAACAAAAACATAAGTTACACCTGAACAAATGATGAAGAAAAAATATCTTCCTCCACCCCAACCTAGCATTCGAGAGGCTAGAGCTCTCCTCACCACTCACAATTTTCAAAATACTCCACACCCTCTCTCTGCACAAAGAGGAAGATTTAAAGACCCAAAAAGTGACTCTAGCACAGCCCTTACCCCTAGAAGACCTTTAACCACACTGGAACTCTAGCACATCACTAGGCCATCACTTACTTTTTTTCCCCCCTCATAACCAGCATCTGGAGGGCAAACATCTGAACCAACATTAATGTTATCTTTTAAACTCTTGCCTTCCTTGATTTCCTCTTATAGGTCTTAGTGAAATCATGAGCTCTATCAGTTTAATATGCCTAGCGATTCAGATTTGGACTGTAAACTAGAATACCTGATTGTTGCTTGAGTGTCTCATGATTTGCTCGGTGCTCCTGCAAGAATAAGAAAACCTGAATTTTATTTCTGCGTTTAACTTAGTCAGTTCTTGGTGTATTTGGTTGGGGCAGAATGCTTTCATCTTCGTGGTCATTATTTTGGCCTTGCACATGTGATGTGTGTGATTGTGTTTGTGGCTTCTCTTTGGCTCATGGTTGTTTTCCATTACTATTACACAGCAATTGGAAAGTGCTGTAGCATGTTTAACCTTTTGGTTCTTTACTTCCTTTAGATTCTGTTTTTGATTCATGTTGGCAGGACATAAAAAATCTGAGTTTGTTGGAGTAGTTATTAACCAATTCAGCTGGAGCTGTTAGGAGTTCAGTTGGCCCAACTGATTTTCAGATAAATGGACCATGTGCCTGGGTGGGGAAAAACGCTAATGGACCAAGGAATTCCCTCCCAACCCTTCTAAATCTCCTTCCATTCCTGTATCTATTTATAGGGGAGCTTGATAGCTCTCCCTAGCTGGAGATTGTTTATTTATTGTTCTTTTATTAGTTTTGGGAGGTTTACAGTAATTTTTTTTTTTTGTAATATTTTAACTTATCAACAATAAATTCTTTTTCTATCTAAACAAAAATGAGAGAGGATGCAAGGGAAATTTTGATTTAGTGTCATTATCTAGTTGAAGTTATATCGTTAAGTTTTCTTTAAAACCTCAAAGTATGGTACTATATCTTTTCGATTTGGTATAGTCAAAGAAGTTTATTAGTTGAAGACTCGAAGTAGAGTTATGGGAAGCCTCTTCAAGTTTTCTTTTTCTAATGTTGGTATACATTTTTCTTTCCCCTTATATTTTGTGATCTTTTTTCTGACAGTTCCCTTTTCTTTTTGTTTTGGTATACTCAAAGAAGTTTATAGTAGAAATACAGTTGTGGGAAGTATATTCAAGTTTTCTTTTTCTAATGTTTGGTATACATTTTTCTTTCCCCTTATATTTTGTTATCATTTTTTGGACAGTTCCCTTTTCTTGAAGCACCACTATGGTGTTGGTTATACTTTAACTCTTGTGAAGGTTTGCTTCTAGTGCTAAAATTTGTCTTCAATTACCTTTTCAGTTGCTGACTCTTTATGATTAGGAGTCTTCTAATAATTTTCCTTGGATTTTGGTTTTGTTGTTCTTGTCTTTTCAGTCTGCAGCCACTGCTTCAGTAGCTTCTGATATTGTCAAACGTCATGTTCCATCAGCTACTTGTGTGAGTGAGGTACTTTCCTTGCTTAATATCAAGATATCCATTCTGATGGCCTGCTCTTGCAGTATGTGTGTGCATGCTAGCGAACACATAAATGTTAGTCTGATGTACTTTTCTTGCTTAATTTCAAGATTTCCATGTTGATATCCTTGCAATATGTGTGTGTTGCCATGTGTGCTTTTGTGTGTGAGAGTTGTAGACCGCATTACTGTTGTGTCTCCCTTCTTTTTATGGTTATGAATTGAATGTGTGACTGAAATAGTGCGTGAGTGTGCCTGCTTGATTTCTTGTCTGCATTACCATCTTCTCTTTCATTTTATGGTCATGAATCTTGGTGAATTCTATGCTTAGTTTTGATAAATTTCTCTGCAATTCCTTTTTCTGGTCAAGAAAATGAAAAATCTAGTAAATCTGGTGATCGTTTATTGCTGCGGTGCTAGTTTGCCGGACAGTTGTGTTTGTCTAACTCTTTCGGTTTTTGTATTTTCTTCATGCTAGTTGCCATCATTGTTTCTTTTGGATTTGGGGGTTACTCAGAGAAACAGATTGAAGATAATTGATATATAAAATATGGAACATCAAAAGAAATGGGAAAAGAATCCCAGGCAAAGTGGTTGTTATTTTTTTTTTGAGAAAAATAAATTATCTAGTGTAATGGCATGTCTAATATGCTTACCTTTAAAATACTGCTTTGAAGAATTGTTTTCTTCTGACATGTCTTTAACAAGATTTTTTTGCCAAAAAATTTGTTCAGCTAGTTTTGTAGAATTTCATGTTTGACATGTATCAGGATCAGGCAGACTAGATGTATGTATCTATATTTCTTCGTCATTAGATATACTGTCACCCTTAAAAGAAAATTATGTGCGCAGTGGATTTGAGGCTTTTTGTGTACAATAATCAGTGCTTCAGTCATGTGTAACGTACTTAGCGTGTAATGTTATTTAAAACTTAATTTAATTCAAAGCATAAACTTTTGTTTTCATATCTGAGATTATGATTATTGATTTTCTTTTTACCAGAACTTACTGGATATGTGTTTCAGGTGGGAACTGAGATTTCCTTCAGGCTTCCTCTCCTGTCCTCATCAGCCTTTGAGAGCATGTTCCGGGAAATTGAAATTTGCTTGAGAAAATCAGTTTCTAACTTGAAATCCACTGATCATGATGGAAAAGAAAGTCTTGGTATTGAAAGCTATGGTATATCTGTCACAACCCTGGAGGAGGTATTCCTGCGAGTTGCAGGATCAGACTATGATGAAGTTGAATGTTTTGAGGAGAAAAAGTGTCCCTTCATATCAGATTCTTTGCCTTCTCATGCTTCTTATGATCATTCATCCAAAAACAGATGGCTTTTTGAATTTCTTGGAGATTACAGGAAGATCAGTGGATTCATATCTAGCACAGTAGCAAGAGCTTGTTATCTATTCTTTGCTACGGTGTCAAGTTTCATAAACTTCTTGAGTATGCTGTGTTGCAGCTGTTGTGTCATTACCAGGTCCACGTTTTGGCAGCATTCTAAGGCTTTACTCATTAAGAGAGCAATATCTGCTCGCAGGGATCATAAAACTATTGTTTTCCAGCTTCTGATTCCTGCTGTCTTCTTATTTATTGGCCTTCTGTTTCTCAAGCTTAAGCCACATCCTGATCAGCAGTCCTTGACCCTTACAACATCTTACTTTAATCCTTTGCTGAGTGGAGGTGGTGGGGGAGGTCCAATTCCTTTTAATTTCTCTTTTCCAATTGCTGAAGAGGTCTGTTAATGACTGTTGACTTCTGTACCATCTTTCCCCTTGAATACATTATGCTCTATTGCTGCTTAAATTTAACTTTGGTGCTCTCTGATGGAATCTAGCTTGGTTTACTATCATGTTGAAGGTAGCCAATTGTGTCAAAGGAGGGTGGATTCAAAGGGCCAAACCTACTGTATACAAATTCCCTAATCCAGAGAAGTCATTACATGAAGCAGTGGAAGTAGCAGGGCCAATTCTTGGACCTGCTTTACTTTCGATGAGTGAATATTTGATGTCTAGCTTTAACGAATCCTACCAGTCTAGGTATGCAAACTAAAAATCTTTTTTTTTTTGTGTTTTAATTTTTATAATCTATTTGAAACTGTTAAGTAGTTAGGAGATGGTTAAGGATATAGAAAGGTTGCTACTTATAGTGCACTGAAGAAGGTCATAAGTTCCATTTTATAATATCATAGGATAGCTCTTGTCAATCCAGTTTTTTTCATTTTGATTGAAGTCAGATTTCTTCCCTCAACTCTTATGGATTATATGATAACGTCTTTGTACGTCTCAGCTTATTGTTTCTTTGGAAGGAGTTTTTGAGCAATGGGTTACTTTTATTAAATTGCAACGAATTGGAGAGCTCTTTTGAGCTAATGTTCTGCTTTTAGGAGGATTTTTTTCCCTTCCTTCAATGATTTCTCAGTTTGAGTAAGCTTAAACATTTGCATCTAGTCACATTGAAGATCAGAGCAGTGTTTTTCTTGAGGCAAAAAGTGGGGTGGGAATTGAGATGGCTGGCTACAAAATGACATTATATCCATTTGCAGCAAAGAAAATTCATATTGCCTTTGAACTCAACTACTATTAGTTCCATGCCCCTTGGCTGGATATGTTAATATCAAAGATGCCTGAAGTCCTGGGATTGCAAAATTTGCTGGATTATTTTGGAATCATGGCTGACCTGCATATTGAAACCCCCCTTTTATCTTGGGATTCACTGCTTCATTTCCATTTTCATTCTTTCTTGTATTTTATAGCCTCTATCATGATCGAAACTCATCAAGGTGAAAAAAGAAAATGAAACTGCCCTGCATTTCTTGGCATCAAGCTGTAGTCTGAACCGAATAGAAAAATCATGGAGATGAGAAGTTCAGTTCATAACCAGTGGCAATTTTTCCTCCTCCTTCTTGCTGATGCCTGTTGAAGAAACCTGAACAAAATAATGAATTAACTTGGACAAAAAGAAATGAAGTGACTTGGACAAATTTTTTTATTGATAACCTCATATCTATTCAACAACTTTTTGAAAGGAAGAGGAAAGGCAAGTTATCTCACTGGTCCTAGAAAACCAGCCGAGAATGAACCTAGTTTTGCTACATGGATGGCTTGAAATGTCATAGGTCTCATACAACTTACAAGAGTGAATAAGTATAAGAGATTAGTGGTGCCAAAAAAGGCAGCATTCAGACATGGAGAATATTTGCCCAACGTTTTGAAATCCATTTAGTTAAGAGAAAAGGACAACCTCAGCTACAGATTATTTCAGTGAACTCACAAAACAAGGGCAAGAAATGCCAGTTGTATGGCATTTCTTCGAGTTCTCAATCCTTTTTCCAGATTCTCACTAAAATTTCTTCTCAAAATTGGTATTATCACACCTTCTTTGATAATAACAATCATATGGCAAGATTTACAGTTGATTGTATGGGCACATGTTTTAGTTCCTTAATATTTAGGAAAGCTTTCTTTTTTGTGGTATTTTTTGCATATGAATTGACAGTCATGTGCTTTTAGCTATTTTTCAGTTTTTTAAGTTTTGAAATTTGTGTGGCCAAAATTTTTCAAAAATTTATTTTTGAAAACTAAGGCAGGATCAATATTTTTGCCTGTACTTGTCTTTTCAAGAAGAAAAAAGGCATTTATTGTGTAAGTTTAATATGATGAGCAAATCTGTTCTACATTTGTTTGCAATGTATTTTTCTAAACAGGTATGGGGCAATTTTAATGGATGAGCAGTACAAAGATGGAGGCTTAGGCTACACTGTTCTACACAACTGTTCTTGTCAGCATTCTGGTCCAACCTTTATCAATTTGATGAATGCGGCAATTCTTAGGCTTGCTACTCGTGACATGAATATGACAATTCAGACACGTAACCACCCTCTGCCAATGACACAAAGCCAGCTCTTACAACATCATGTGAGCAACTGCTTTATTTCTCTGGGAATGAATGTTTCTTAGCATCATCATACATGATATTTAGTACAATTAGTTTGAAATTATATCACTTTGCATGCTATTATATTTTGTTGCTAATGCAGCATGTGTGAATCCAGTTTTTACCCTATTATATTATGCTTAATAAGGCTAAAACTTTTTTAAAAATGATGATAACATGATAATACACATTAAGATGCAAGTCATTGTGCTTCAGTAAGAGTTGGGGGGACAACACTAGGGAAGAGAAAAGAGGAGTTCTTTATCCATAATTGCTCGCTACTTCCACCAGAGCTTCCTGCTTTTTATGTATTAGCCATTCTTTTCTTAATGCAAAATATATATACGCTGTTGGAGGGGTAATAATACTAATTGCTTTGACTTGGTCCACTATAAGCTGGAAAGATGAAAAGACCAAAGTAACTAAAATGCTCAAGGCACATTGTAGAATTTTAATATGATTTTTTTTTTTAATCTTCACATAGAAAGTACATCATGGGATTGTTAAAGTATTTTCTCTTGTGTGCTTGTTAGCTTTGTTTAAGCAACATTTTGGAGTTAGCAGTGCACCATCTCTTAGGCCTATCCAACTTTTGATGAGTTTGAGATGAAATTTTGTAGGATCTGGACGCTTTTTCTGCTGCAATAATTGTCAATATTGCCTTCTCTTTTATACCCGCCTCATTTGCTGTTTCCATTGTAAAGGTAGGCAACTTTTAATGCACAGCTTCAAACCAACTTGGCATCTTTTTAATAAGTTTGATTGCAGCTCTTGGATTAAGGATGTTTCTTTGAACAATTATTTATAACTTTTAGTGGTTCTTTTAAAAAAAAAATAATTAAAAACTTTAAGTTGTTTGTGGCAGTAACCAATAGAAGTTATGGCTAAAATATTATGTATATTGTGTCATTGAATCATCTAACAGAATTCTGTATTCCATTGTACACATTTTCTGTGTGATTGGCAATCATCTTTTTCAATTAAATGGTGCTACCTTTTTTGCTATTCCCCTGAAAAAATACTACATTTTCTATTCACTTTATGCTTCTTTCAGTGCACTTCCTACTGTTTCATGAGTCAAGACAGTCAATACATGGTTACTTTCATTTACAACAGATTAAAATTTAGGGTAATGGTGCATTTGTGCCCATGAAGTATTTTTCAAGGAGCACCCAATGCCCTAAAATATTTGTCATAACATTTTTTCCCCTTAAGTAATTAAATCGAAGCATCCTCTACCCTAACGTTAAATCCTCACCTGTTGACTGATAGAATTTTGGACTGAACTCTGATTGAAAATGCCACATCTGATGCGAGATGGATCTGGGTTGACCTCTTGAATGAAATATGAAAGGTAGAAATGCCAGCGACAAGTCTTTTGGCTTATTCTCTTCTTATCTTTGTAGGAGTGATTCGAGCCTTACCTTAAGAAACCAAATCACGATTCAAGCTGAATTAACTTGGAAAACCAAACCCACAAATTGGTGGAGGAAAACTAAGATTAGCAGACAAGTAGCGAGTTTGTTTTTCAGAACAAACTAAGATTAATATAACCACACAAACAGCCACTAGCCATGAACTTCATATCCAAAGGGGAAGATATCAAACCAGATGCAGAGACAGAAATTGAAGTGGAAGAAATCAAAGACAAAAATCAAACCAAAGGCAGAAATTAAAGACCCGAAAGTCAGATGCAAAGACCTGTTTGAATTCTTGCAAAATGACCCGAGTTAGAGAATGAGAAGAAGATAATGGAAGATCCCTCTGCTATTCTCACTTTGTGAAGCGATTAAGTTGGAAATGAGTGCTTTCTTTGTTGGAAGCTATGATCCCTGAATGATCTACTGCTGCTGTAATCAACCTTCAGATTCCACCATTTATGTCAGTGATGGATTGGCTGATTTTGAGTGTCCTACTTACTGGATATATTGAAGCTTCTGTTTTGGAATAGAATAAGAAATTTCAGATTTTCATTTTGAAACTTTAGTTTGGCTCAATATATTTTGAAACACTTTACTTAAGGGAGTTTATAAGACCCATTCTAACACCACAGAAGAGGCAAAAAGAGATTACTAAAAATCAGCGCATTGCCTTACAAACATATCTGCAAAATGCTACAAAGACTGCAGATTATCTAAAAGTTCTGGCTTTCTTGTTTCTGCCAAGCCCTTATATCTGCAATTCTCATCTTGAATCTACATTTAACAGTACTACTTTTTTCATTTGATGTGCTTTTTTTATTTCTTCTTGTAAAATTCAGTTCTACATAATTTGAAAATACACATTTTGTGATTGCGTTTGAAGTGTGATTTTCTTCCCTCTTGTATTGTGCTTTTAATTAGTATACCTACCTACCAGGTATCCTATAGTGTGTTTGGATTAAAAATTACAAAACTGAAGTTAGAATGAACTGAGGTGAGGGTAAAAGTTTATAACTCTAATGTGATTTATGTCTAGATACCTTTTTTTCTAAGCCAATTTGGCAAATTGAAACTTGTTGGAATGATATAATTCAAAAGCCAGTTTAGATGTATAATAACAAAAGGATATGAAATTTATAATAAATATTTTTGTGATGAATTTAATATTTTTAGAACAAATATTAAACTTTAAATTACAATTTTTTAAGAAGTAGAATGGAAAAAATATAAAATAAATTTATAAACTAGAAAATCTTAATTTTTAAAAAATTAGAATGACATAATAAATTATAAAGCATTTAATTCTGAATAAAGTAAAATGAATTCATATCTTATGAACCATGCACACAAATGAAGAAATGAAAAATAAGAGAGAGATTAAATAAAAGGAGTTAGACAAAAATCATGAGGGATGGCAGGAGAGAAGTTGCACGAAGTACAAAGCCCCCCTCTTATTATTATTCTTTCATGCTCCTTGCTATTGAGTTTTGACCTTTGCCGCACCCCTCTCTCACTCGCTATTAGACTAGCTCAGCATTCCCTCTCTCTAACTCCCTGTCAAAGCACACGCTAGCATTCTCTCAATGCGTGTTGAGAAGCTTAATGGGTCAGCTTAAGTTAAAACGGAGCTTTTATCCCAGAAGCTTGTTTTAACAACTTTTTACGCAAACAATTTTTCATCTTGCAATGGCCTTTTAACATTCCAACTGAGGTTTGTGCCACCCAAACCTTAATTGGAATCTAATCCAAACATGCCCCTAATATAATATCTTCCCAAGATGCTGTCCTTGCAATGCTATAGAACTTGAATTATATTATTGTTCTTGTTGTCATCATTGTCCTTGTCATAGTGGCTTGCTAAAGCAAGCTTTCTGCCACGTGACTGTCTGAGGATTTTTACTATAAATTTTTCTGTTTCTTGGGCTAAAGAATTGTAATGTTATACTGGTGCAGGAACGGGAAGTTAAAGCTAAGCACCAACAACTAATCAGTGGGGTATCTTAATCTCAAAAAAAAGAAGCTTTTTAAGACATTATTATCTATCTTTGTCAATACCTATCTGATGTTGATTTATTTTAATTCAGGTTTCTATTTTTTCATATTGGGCTTCTACATTTATATGGGACTTTGTGAGCTTCTTGTTTCCTACCTCCTTTGCAGTTGTTCTCTTTTACATCTTTGGTATGTTTCCCATTCTTATATAAATTATTTGTTTTGGTATTGTCATTTAATTTGAAAATGAACATTATTCAGAGGCAATCTAATATTTATTTGGTGTAAAAGAACAAATATTATTGGGGAAAGGAAGGAAGGATTAGATAGAAGGGATAGCAAAATATTCTCTAAACAAAGGAGAGGATAGAAAGTAAAGAAAAACTGAAACAAGGAGATGATAATGCTCTTCAATTCCTTCATATGTCAGTTAGGGAAAACACCCTTAAATGAACCATTGGCTGAACACGCAAGAGAAGCCAGAAAAACAATTCAGTTTCGTATCAAGTTCAAGGGCCAACAAGTTTGATTAAGCCAGATACACTGCAGAAAGGCACAAGTACCCTATGCCTAAAAGGCTTTAACTCTTGGTTCAATCAACTCTCTAACCTAATGAAAGAAGTTGTTTTTGTTGAAATTCCAGTGATTTTAATTAACTTGTTCTTGTTTTATTTGTTTTGTTTCAGTTAAGGTTTTTTTGGCTGTTTTTCGGATAAAGCTTCTATGTTTTCTTTTGGGGGGAATGGCTTTTGCCTGTTTTAGAATTTGCTTGGGGAGAATGACAGTTAGGTCCTGAAACAATCTTCAGTTGCTATTGTGGAGGAGTAGTTGCAAATGATACTCTATAAGATGTAAATAAGGGAGTATTAGTTGAATATAATTGTTTAGGAACCTAACAATTATTTTGGTCTTTTGGTGCCTAAATGTTACTTTCCCATTTGCTTGAGTGTTTTATTTTGATGAAGATAAGATTATGTTAAATGTTCTCTTTAGATTAGGGAAGAATTATCCCATTTTTGAAAGTTACATCTTTTAGTTTAAAACTGCAGGGTTGATTAAAAAAACAGAGAGAGTGGGGTTTTTAGTGGGCCTGGCGTAAGGCAATGTAATTGTTATAGTTCAGTATGTGACGGTACTGAACTACATTTGGTTGTAGTTGAGCTGCGATTAATCTGATTCAACATATTAAATGTAAATGTCGCTTCACTCTAGATAGTGACATCCAAGTCTTGCCCAATCCCAAATTGGTCTTGGCAGCCAGTCCTGATCAAGTTTTTCTTTTAAATATTTATTTAACTGTTTTAGGCATAAGACTATTCATTTTAATACTCTTGTGAGATCTACGTTGTGGAAATGATAGAGATAGGCTGATAGGAGGAAAATGGACGAAAAAACAGACAAGGGTGAAACTTTCAAAAGCTGTTGCTTGGAGCCTAATTGTCTGGTTTTCATTTTGGATAAATTTTTGTCACAATAGTTTGGGCCTCTTATTTTCCCCAAAAAATGGTCACCTCTCAATTTTAAGTCTTTTGTTTTGAAATCCAATAATACACTTTTTTTTTAAATGAACCAATGATACACATTTTAAATCTCATCTTCTTTCATATGAATGTGACAATTATACTCAGGGAAGAACATGGCAGGCGCATGACCCTGTAGCTACTTATAATTTGTGGAATGTGGTTAAAACGTTTTGCCTAAAATAAAACGTTTATAGTTTGGAACCTATTTTTAAATATTATATACAGATCAAGTTGAGTTGGGCCAAACTGGCCACCATCGCAAGTGCTGCTAATTTTACTTTTGCATTAGCCTTGCCTGATTTGGCCCAGTAGAACTGGTCAGCCAAGCCAATGTTTGGCCCTAATGACTACCCTACCCAACTCTTCTAAAATACCAATCAAGTCCTTGAGAAAATCTAAATATAACCTATCGACATTATCATTTTTTTTTTTGAGCAAATCGACATTATCATTTTATTTTGCAATATTATGATTGCCATTGCTTATTTGTGTATTTTATATTACCATAGGTCTGGATCAGTTTGTTGGAGGTCCTTCTTTGCTGCCAACAGTCCTCATGTTTTTGGAATATGGACTGGCAATTGCATCATCAACGTACTGCCTTACATTTTTCTTTTCTGACCATACCATGGCTCAGGTGTGAGGGGATTTCAGTCTCTCATTTCTTTATTTTAACATATTATGAATTATAAGTTATAAGATATTCACTTTTGCCGCAGAATGTGGTTCTCCTGGTCCACTTCTTCACTGGTCTAGTACTAATGGTTATTTCATTCATTATGGGACTGATACCATCAACGACAAGTGCCAATTCTTTTCTTAAGGTTGGAAACCCTTGTTCTTCTTCAGATGCTTAGTATTAATACATGTCAGTTCAGGAGTTGGCAATATGAATTGCATCCTCTTGCTCATATTATTTTTATCCCAACAATCAGTAGAGTTGAGGGAAGTGGAATTTTCTATCTAGGCTCTATTTTTCAGAGGGGGAAAAAAATCTATCTGGAACTCTTCTAAATTTTATAGCTGAAATGATTGTCTTAATTTTTTAAATCACTATTTTTTATTTTCTGTGGGAAATATGTCCATTTTACGTTGATAGTTAGTGCAAATAGACAAGTTTCCCTCTCACATTTGATCAATTTTAGGTCAGGATTTTATATGGTGCTCATTAAGTGGTTACTATCATTGGTTTTACCTGTCAGATGTGCACAGGGATCAGAGGGCTTTAACAATAATGTATTATTCTATTGAGTTTCTCTCATTTGCAAATAGATGAGGATCATGATATTTTATTATTCCTCTCTCATCTCTTTCCAGTACGATTTTATTTTTTTGGAGCAAAAAATATTGAAGTTTGATGAAGACTTGATAGTATGGGATATCAAGTTCCACATTGAGCAGTATGGGATGCTCAGTGGGGTGTATAAGTGGGTTGGTTCTCCCACTTCAACAACTAGCTTTTAGGGTCGGGTTTTCCACCCTACTCAGATACCCATCAATTGGTATTAGAGTCTCATTGTTGGCAATTCCGGAGAGGGCTACCCATAGAGGGTTCTGACCGGAAGGAGAGCGAGTTAAGTGCTGTGGAGTTCAGCCATCAAGACATCGGCTTTCTATGGGGGGCCAATTGATGGAGACTTAGTAGTATGGGATACCAAGTCTCACATTAAGTAGTATGGGATGCTCAGTGAGGTATATAAGAGGATTGGTTCTCCCACTTCAATAGCTAGCTTTTGGGATAGGGTTTTCCATCCTACTCAGGTACCCATCAAAGTTTTTTTTTTTTTTTTAATATATACTTGGAACTTATGTTAAAGATAGTGCTGCTATGTTTTTCGCTTGTTGGCAAACCAATTCTCTTAGCAGAGGCAGTTATTGCCCTAAGAATAACATGATATGGGAGTATCTTAGTGCGCCCCTGAATTTCTATAAATAACTTCTGGTTGTCCAACACTATTATTATATGTCCTGTTGTTGGATAAGGTTGTGTTGTAAGTAGTGGGATCCAGAGCTATACAGCTGGCACTTCCAGGTAATGATATGTAGGGTATGAATCTAGGTTGTGTTTTAAGTAGTAGGATCCAGAGCCATACAGCTGGCACTTCCAGGTAATAATATGTAGGGTATGAATCTATAGTTTTTTGTTGGCAGTGATGATGTGCGATTGTGTTTTAAATTGTATTTAAAGATATGCAATCGTATTTAAATTCTTGTATGCTCATTAACTTTGGTAAAGACTTACATTTAATGAGATCAAATATTAACTGAGTTATTTAACTTGTTTTGTTCTCTTTCAGAACTTCTTCAGATTATCTCCTGGATTTTGTTTTGCTGATGGGTTTGCTTCACTAGCTCTTCTACGGCAAGGGATGAAAGATAAAACAAGTGAAGGGGTGTTTGATTGGAATGTTACTGGTGCTTCTATCTGTTATCTTGCTCTGGAGGTTTGTGTCATTAATGTCATATGGGTTTTCCCAAGCTGAAGTCTCCAGAATATATAAAAAAAATTTCTAATGATGTGTGTGGAGCATACGACTGAAATTTTCTCCTTGTCCTCATAATAATTAACATCTGGAAGTCATGTATGCTTGTCTGAAGGTTATTCAGTGATTGATAGTACTATAATAGTGCAAAGAAAGGTTGGAAACAAAGGGATAAGATGGCAGGACCAACTTACTAGTAAATAGTATATTTGGTTGCAGCTGATAAAAGAAGTCACATGGGAGAAGGACAAACTTATGTGGCTCGGCTGCCTGAATGAAACTACTGATTGTAGTATAAATGTTGAGTATATACATCTTTTCTGTTTCTGCTACGCCCGTCAGTTATTTCACTATACTGTAAATCCTCCGTTTCATGCATAATTTTTTCACTTCTCTTATTGCCTATGGTAGATAGTTCTTTACAATGTAGCTCCCATGAGTTATCTTTTGGTCAATTTGAACCAAAAATTCTATTCCCTGGTTCTATCTTCTTGATTTGGAAGCAGGAACGCAGTGTTTATACATAATATATATACACATGGGCTTTGGTCAATCTAATCTCCCCCCCCCTTTCTTTTATGACAGAGCATCAGTTACTTTGTGTTAACACTTGGAATTGAAGTTTTTCCTTCTCTCAAATTGACTCTGTTCATGATCAAAAAGTGGTGGGAAAATATTGTCCCACGTAATACTCCTTCTTATCTGGAAAACCTATTAGAACCTTCCCTGGAAACTGTTGGCATAGACTGTGATGAAGATGTAGATGTGAAAACAGAAAGAAACAGAGTAATGTCAGGTACCCTTGACAATGCCATCATCTATCTGCGTAATCTTCGTAAGGTATTTTCCAAAGCTGTTTTATAAATGATATTGGAATAATTTGGCATTACAATTGTATTGATATTTTCCCTCATTTCAGGTCTATTATGAAGGGAAGCTTCGCCAGCAAAAGGTAGCAGTAGATTCATTAACCTTTGCTGTTCAGGAAGGAGAATGCTTCGGATTTTTAGGGACAAATGGAGCTGGAAAGACCACAACTTTGTCCATGTTGTGTGGTATATCAGATTTCTGAGCAAAATATAGACACTGCATCTCTGCATGTGTGATGTTCATGCCTTAGGCTTCAAACTGCAGTGTTACTTAATATCCCTACTTATCTGACAATTTATAACATATTCTGCATTTCCTTCCATAATACCTACTTTGTATCTGGTGAATGTATTTTGTTTCATCAATGGGATTTTCAATTTGAGCAAGCCTGATGTGTCAAATTAATGAGATTCTTCAAAATCTTGGACAAGCATACTAGTAGGAAAGCTTTTGTAATTATATTTGCTCATGCTGGGTTACTGTAAACTTACCATTTGTTTCTGCTGCTCAAGAAAATTCAATTTTGAATTTTTTTTTAACTCTGTCCATACAGGAGAAGAGTCTCCATCTGATGGGACTGCTTTTATTTTTGGCAAGGATATATGTTCTCATCCCAAGGCTGCTCGCCAGCATGTTAGTAATTTTTTACTTATCGTCTGCGCAAACATATAGTCAAAGATTGAAGACTTGCCTGAATCCATCTGACTCAGACTTGATTGTTTGAATTCCCATTTCAGATTGGTTATTGCCCACAATTTGATGCTCTCTTGGAATATTTGACTGTACAAGAACATCTTGAGCTTTATGCTAGAATAAAAGGTGTTCCAAGTTGCATAATAGATGATGTATGCGTAAGAACTTTCGAATTACTCTATTTGTTCTTGTTAGGATCTCTCATGGTGACAATATTTATTTATATATTCATTTATTTATTGCATGGAGAAGCCATTCCTAAAATATTGAACTTCAAAGTACAACGGGAAAATTAACAAGGTTATGGTCTTGTGTGGTCTAGAAATTCTTTTGAATGTGAAATTGATACATGGAACTCTGTCTATATTTGTAGCTAGACCCAAACTTAGGCAAAGGAGGAAGGTTGTGTTAGGCTATCAACAACTAACATAAAACTTTATTGAATCTCATATAGATCGAAATTAGTAGATGGAACTTTGATAAGTGTTCTAGTCTAGTGTATAAGTTTCCTCACTTGGACATCCAAAGTTGCTCTATTTAATAATTAGAATATGAAATTAAGATTTCCAGCAAAAGGTATAAACGTTAACATGAGGCATGTGGTCAATCCTTCCAAGCAATACTGTTTTTTGGAACTGACTTTGTTTCCTTGGACCATTTGTGATAGGAACCAAGATAGGTAGAGAGAAAAATAGAACATAAGTCTTTATTAAAGTATGAAATCAGAATCTAACTTTGTAAATTAATAAAGATTAGAGAAAATCTTTAATAGGAGATGAGCAAGAATCTTAAACTCATACAACTAATAAAGCCAAAGGAGAATTTCCATTGATTAAAAAATAATAATGATTGTACTTCCAAATGATTTTTACATGTTGTGCCTTAGTATTTAGAGACAGAAAAATGATTAATAGTTTCTAAAAATACTCCCATTAATCCATAACTCAAATAATTGGCATAACTAACAAATAAATAAATAAATAAAATGACTAACTTAATATACATTACCCACTACTCCTAAATTTAAGGACCACTCAACAAAATGGAAAAACAATTTAAAAAATATTATTAAACAAATAATATCTAAAATAACTTGGAAATTGAAAGCTATCAGAGATCAGAAAGAGAAACTAGAGAAGGATTGAAAAATATCATATCTATTATTGAGATGGAGGTTACATTATATACATAAAAAAAAATAGACAATACAATAATGACTAATAACTATAATATCAAATAATATTTTTTTAATAATAATTGAGATATATATACAATAATAGTAGAAGATATTTGGAGAATATTTTAGATAACATCCCCCCTCAAATTTAAGATGGCTTAACAAAAAGCAACTTGAATTTGTCTGCTAGAAATTGAAAGCGGCCTGGATAAAAAGAATTTGTAAACAAGTCCGCCGGTTGATACTTGGTTCAAGTTGGAATAAGTCGGATGGTGCCTCGAACAACAAGCTATCGAGTAATGTGCCAATCAATCTCAATGTGTTTGGTCCGTTCATGAAACACATTATTGTAAGCAATCTTGATTGCAGCTTGATTATCACAATAAATGTCTGTGGAGGAGCTTTGAGATGTTCCCAACTCATCAAGTAACCAATGAAGCTAAAGTACCTCAACAGTAGTGTCTGCTAGTGCATGATATTCTGATTCAACACTAAAGCAAGAGGCTAATGTGTGCTTCTTACTTCTCCAAGAGATACGGGAATGATCGAGGAAAATATAGAAGCTTGTCATAAACTGTTGATCATCACGATCACCACCCTAATCGGCATTGGAGTAAGCTCACAATGCAAGAGGGGAGGTAGCAGAGAAGTGAAGCCTATGACATAGAGTGCCTCTAATATACCAAATGATCTGAAGAATTGCTACATAATGAGTTGTGTGAGGCTCAAACATAAACTGGTTGATAACATGAACTGCATAAGCAATATTAGGATAGGTGATAGCAAGATAAATGAGGCCCCTAACTAGCTAGCGGTAACGGGTGGGGTTATCCAACAAGGTGCCATCAGTGGAAGTATAGTGAACATTTGGTTCAATAGGAGTAGTTTCAACCTCCTCATCAGAAAGGTGAGCTCGAGATGTCAAATTGGTGGCATACTTCATTTGAGAGAGAGATATACCATCACTCTCATGATGGACCTCAAGGCCAAGAAAATAATTCAATCTGCCAAAATCCTTCATTTTAAATTGCTGGCCCAAGTATGTCTTGAGCTCCTGAACTCCTGTATCATCACTGCCTGTGTTAATCATGTCATCAACATATAGCAACAACAGAACAATATCATGAGCAGCGGAGCGAACAAAAAGAACCGAGTTGTGAGAATTACAAGAAAAATCCAATTGATTCATAGTGGTACTAAACTTAGCAAACCATGCATGTGGAGCCTGCTTGAGCCCATATAAAGCTCGACGAAGACGAGAGACCTTGTCTTTTGGATGTTGATACCTAAGTGGACGCTTCATACACACTTCTTCCTCTAAATCTCCATTTAGAAAGGTATTTTTAACATCCATTTGGTGAAGAGGCCAATGCTTAACAGCAATAATGGCTAAAAGGCTGCGAACAGAAGTCATACAAGCAACAAGTGCAAAAGTTTTCTCATAGTCAACACCATACTCTTGAGTGAATCCTTGGGCCACCAAGCGGGCCTTGCGTTGCTTCAAAGAGCCATCATAATGAGTCTTGTTCTTGTAAACCCATCAACACCCAACCAAAGTTTTACCAGGAAGAAAATCAACAAGATCTCAAGTATACATTTTCTCTAGGGCCTGCAATTCATCATCCATAGCTTGCTGCCAAAGGGGATCATGAGAGGCTTCCTGAAAGGATTTAGGTTCTTGAAATTGAAGAATAGTGGAAAAACAATGGTAATCATTGAGGTAAGAGGGAGGATTTTTTACATGATTGGGCTGAGAGTTTGTGGACGATATGGGCTCAATAGGCATGACTTGTGTTGGAGGGGCAATAGGTGTGACAATAGGCACATCTGGAGCAGGCGTAGCATCAATCGTGGAAACGAGCTCAATAGAAGAATCTGTGCTCGAGTCACTAGGAAAAAGATCAGTAGAAATATCTGTAAAAGTAGGAGGTGAAGAAGAGGGGAATGATGAGAGATCGGTTAGAGACAAAAACTTGATATTTTCCCAAAAGACAACATGCCGAGAAATACGAATGCGGTGAGAGAGAGGATCCCAACAACCATAACCCTTATGCTCAGAGTCATAACTAAGAAAACAACAAACACAAGAACGAGCTTGAGGTTTATTTGTCTCATGAGACGGAAGAATAACAAAACAAGCACAAGCAAAGACTTTCAAAAGGTTATAATTGGGAGGATAACTATGGAGGTGCTCAAAAGGAGAAATGTTATCAATGACAAGAGACGGGAGTTGATTGATGCAAAAGATAGAGGTTAAGGCTGCTTCATCCTAAAACTGTTCAGGACAAGAAGAGGAAATGAGTAATGCTCTAACAGAACCAAGAATATGACGGTGTTTACGCTTAACACGACCATTCTATTAAGAAGTATAAGGATAAGAATGTTGAGAAATAGTACCTTGAGAATCAAGAAATGTGAGTAATTTAGAGTGACACGATATTCCAAAGCATTATCACGATGAAAAATTTTGATGACTTTAGAATACTGAGTGTGAATCATAGTAGCAAATTTGATATAAAGTTCAGGTAACTCATGTCGATATTTCATTATATAGATCCAGGTAAAACGAGGAAAATCATCGACAAAAATCACAAAATATTGGGATCTTGCCATAGAGGGAGTAGGTGCAGGGCCCCAAACATCAGAATGAATCAAATCAAATGAAGAAGCCGCAATAGAATCATTTTTATGAAAAGACAAAGCGGGTATAAATTAGAGAAGGATTGAAAAATGTCATTTTACCGAGACTGTCCTATAGATATGCGAAAATAGATTTAAGGTGGATATGAACTCATGACAAAGGACAGTAACACTGCTACGAAGGAAAGCTAACGCTCTTTAAAAAACTGACTTATTGTGGGAAAAAAATATTATATGACTCTGGTACCAATATGACTAACAAGCATTTGAAAATTATCAGCAATATGTATAGAATGGGCAGCAGAGTTAGGTGTCATAGAGGAGAAGAAATTTTCCTGACCTTTCATATGATTGCAACAAGCAAAGTCAAAATACCAAGTGGATTTATCGATGAGAGTGGATAAGGCAGCAAGTGGGCTAGAGGAACTGGGGATGAATGTTTGCAACAAAGTTTCAAGTTCAATCGGAGAGGATCCCTAAGTAGGCTAAGCAAGATCACATTTTTCCAACTAAAGACAATAATTGTAACCATTCAAAGTAACTAATATAAATTGAGCAACATCTGAATTTTTCATTTTTTTAAGGAAAAAAAAGTTTATAAAAGAGAATGAAGGATTCAAAACACTCAAACTATAGACTAGCGTGAATGGCATAGCGCTTACACTAGGAAACTAATCAATGATCTGACCGTTCAAAATGACGTGTTAGATGTTCTTTACCTGCTGACCAAATTTCAGCACGATCTAACGGTCAATGAATCTACAAGCATTGATTTACCGAAGCTGCCCTGTGGATATGCAAACGAAAAATTAAGGTAGATTTGAACTCGTAACGAAAGATGGCAACACTACTGCGAAGGAATGCTAGCGCTCTTCAAGAACTGACTTATCATGGGAAAAAATATTATATGGCTCTAGTACCATGAAAGCTATCAAAGATCAGAAAGAGAAACTAGAGAAGGATTGGAAAATGTTGCATCTATTATTAAGATGGAGGTTGCATTATATACACAAAGAAAATAGATTATACAATAATGACTAATAACTATAATATCAAATAATATTTCCTAATAATAATTGAGATATATACATAATAATAATAGAAGATATTTGAAGAATATTTTAAATAACAGAAATAATAATTATTCCTAATATCTAACTACCTCACATCATCCATTATCCATGCTACTCGGTACTCTATCAATTTGCCATTTTATTCCCATCCAAGAACAAGAAGGAGAAAACCTGAGTGAAATTTTACTTCTTTTATCAATGCAACACAGATTGGTGAACTACCAAACACCTAGTTCCATAAAAACCTAATGGCTGCTGCACATGATTTGGGGGAATATAATTCACATTGCTACCCAGATTAGTAGCCAAGTTTTTAGCATTATATGTTTCACTTTTTCTGCCTGAATGTCCCGACTTCTTTCCCAGTTCAGGCCTGAAATAGAAAAATATGCCTCAAATGTCTTGTGGTCACTGTTTGTAACCATCAATATATAATATAAAAATTATAATAAGCCACTATTCATGAGTCATTATAATGCGGCTTATTTCTTAGACTCTCCTCCAGTACTTCTCATAAGTAACATGCACACCAAACACTAGAGTTCAGCAAGGATGGGCTATCTGCTCATAAATAATATGCATAACCTTCAGTACTTCTCATAAATAACATGCACACCGAACACTGGAGTTCAGTGAGGATGGGCTATCCACTTTCTTATGCATTTAAAATAAATATGAATATTCGTTTATGTTTACCATCAAAAGATGGGGAATGTCAACCTTTTTAGTTCAATGACATGATTATTATTAGCTATGATATATTGGCCTTTAATGCCCAAATGACAATCTGGACAGGTTGTTTTGGAAAAGTTAGAGGAGTTTGACTTGCTGAAGCATGCTAATAAGCCATCATTTTCTCTTAGTGGAGGAAATAAAAGAAAATTGTCTGTTGCAATTGCGATGATTGGAAATCCTCCTATAGTCATTCTTGATGAGCCATCCACGGGTATAATAACTCAATTATTTTCATTCTATTTTATTATATATCTCCAAACATCATAAAAATGAGCCTTATCTTTGTCATATTGTTAAGTTATCAAATCTGCTCTCAAACCCTTGCAGTAGATCAAGCTGTTATCTAACATGGTTTCAAAAGAAGTTGATAAACTGGTGTTTAGTTTATTTTTTGATGCCTACTGTTTGGTGATTAAATGTTTTGTTTACAGTAGTATTTAGTTTCACTGTTAGGGAGTTGCAGCCGCACATGCAACTTTAGTGATATTTCCATGCGAGGGGCAAGTTTAAATTATCAAAATTTATTCATGGACCCTTGCTTAATAGCTTAAGCTTAGATCAACTAGTTTTTAACTCAAAGCAACAAGGCCTTTCACATGACGAAGCTCTGCTGACAGATAAGCAATTACATAATTTCTTTTTCTTGATGAATTCCAAAAGCACCTGCTGTCAGGTCTGCCTTGAAATCTAATTATTCATATTTTTAGGTATGGATCCCATTGCCAAACGATTCATGTGGGATGTAATATCTAGGATCTCAACAAGACGAGGAAAGACAGCAGTAATTCTAACTACCCATAGCATGAATGAAGCTCAAGCATTGTGTACGCGAATAGGAATAATGGTATAACTTTGCGTTTTATTTGCTTGTTTAAGCACTGACGTGCATTTTGGTTTTTACTTGTATTGTTTTCTTTTGTGTGTTGGTATTTCGTAGTCAACCCTAGTTATGATTTGTTTCCTCAATTGTCCCACAGTTGGAATGTGTTATGATTTATTTTTATTTCCATATGTATGGGAATTGATTGGTCAAACTTGTGCGACCAACTTTTCCTCATTTGATTAGTTTATGTCATTATTCTGAATAAGAAACTCCAGAGAAAGACAATCTCTCTCTTCCTCCCTATGTGTCTTCTCCCCCCACTCAAAACGACAACACCCATACTCAAAAGTTGATTTAATTACATTGTCTCTGATGGAAGGTTGCTGGCCGATTAAGATGCATCGGAAGTCCACAGCACTTGAAAACAAGATATGGGAATCATCTGGAATTAGAGGTTACTTTATGATTCTATTTTTTGACATTTTCCGGTAAAAGCACTTTCATATATCTAGCTATTGGTTCCCGTTTCCAGGTGAAACCTACCGAAGTGAGCTCTGAAGACCTAGAAATACTCTGTAAAGCTATACGAGAAAGGCTTTTTGATGTTCCATCTCATCCAAGAAGCTTACTTGATGGCCTTGAAATTTGCATTGGAGGCGCTGACTCCATTTCATCAGATGCTTCTTTTGCAGAAATTAGCTTGTCACAGGAAATGATTGTCTTCATTGGACGCTGGCTTGGCAATGAAGAAAGAATAAAGACGCTTATCTCTTACGCACCTGTATCTGATGGGGCTTCTAGCGAACTGTTATCTGAACAACTGTTTCGAGATGGTATGTGTGAACCTTCATGCTTTTTCTCCTCAATGTTGATTCGATGTGTGATAATAATTGATGACCCTTTTGTTTTGGCTGGAAGATGAGTAAATAACTGAATGATCTCTTTTCTTTTACACTGGCCTATAATCGGGCATGATTTGATTCATGTTCACCTTCACTTTGCTTCTTATTTTCTGTAAAATCATCTTGGTGGATTTCATTTCTATTATTGTACTTGGATGGAAGATATTATATGAAAATAACGTGCCCTCAATGTTCAAAACAATAAAGTGCAACGGTTTGACATTTTATAATTTCTTTTCTTTTCCTTTTTCTCGGTTGTGCGTGGTAAGTTCTGGTTAAAGATTTACCAGTTAAAAGTTCCATGTTCTGGTATTTTTCAGTCATGCTGGCACCCCCTTTTGATGGATCTCTATCGTGTTGAAAGAAATCTTTATATTCTCCTGTCATTTACAGAAATTGTCTTCTGCATGAAATGGTCTAGTCTATAGAATGTCTGAAAATATATTCCTTGAACAGCCTTGAATTATTTGTGTAACTTAGGCCATATAAATGCAGCGACGGCATAACTGAATGAAGTTCTGTTGTGTGTGCATGCGCACGATCTTCAATTTGCTTTTAACTTTTCTATCGGCTTTGTGAATGAATCCTTTTTTTGTTTATTCATGACATTCTTTTCAAATTGCTGTCGCTTCATTTACGTTCCAAATATGTGACACAATTTGTTCTTTTATCTTTAAATGCCCTCTAATTTATCAGTAACTGTTTGAGACTATCTAGGTGGTATTCCGTTGCCGGTATTTTCTGAGTGGTGGCTGTCCAAAGAAAAGTTCTCGGCAATAGATTCATTTATTCTATCTTCTTTTCCTGAAGCAAGGTGTCAAGGGTGCAATGGTTTGAGTATGAGATACCAGGTATTTGCTCAGTTGATTAGACTACTTTTTTGATGGTAAGTTTTCCCGTGATGGTATCGCCTTAGGGTGTGTTTGGTTTCCAGTTGGAAATGCACTTTTACAACTTTCAAGACAATCCTACTCCCACATTGCTTTGTGAGACATATTTTCCAGGATATTCACCAGTTCAGCTTCACTTAGTTTTGCCATAAACAGGATATTTTCATATATATGTATATGCAGTAGTGTGGGGATTTGAATTTTGGAGGACATGCTGTAGTAATTCATCGTTTGTTTGCTGCAGTTACCATATGGTGAAGACTTTTCTCTTGCGGATGTTTTCGGACTTATTGAAGGAAACAGGTAAACTACACACATTATTCGCACATTTGATCTTGATAGCTAAAATTACGAGGGACTCATTTTCATCAAAATCTTTTTCCAGAAATAGACTGGGCATTGCAGAGTACAGCATTAGCCAGTCAACCCTGGAGACCATATTTAATCATTTTGCAGCTAGCTCATGAGACGTGCCATTCATCACTTTCTTCTGATAGAAAGTACTGCGGTGTGATAATGCTGTATAATGTTCTTTCTAGTGATAGACCATACGTAAATATCAACGGCTGAAAATTTAAGAGTCGTTGAGTCATAAGTTGTGTAAGATGACTCGGGGTACCATCGAATTGTAAATAGATTCCCTATTGTCCTGCCATTTTTTCTTTGGCCGGCGAGAATTGTCACACTTTAATCCAGCAGTTTCTGTTGCTCCATTTCCTGCAATGTTTGAAGTCAAAACCAGAGTTGGTGGCCGAAGGCTTCCTTCTAGATCTTTTGAAAGATTACATTATTCTTTGTTCTGGAAACGAAATCGAAATCGAATCGATGAATTGGTTAAGTTACAGAGAAACCACAGAATTGAGGAAACAGTATTATCTTCTCTATTTCAGCGCGTGCTCAAGATTTGGTTTCCAATTTTATTATCCTTTGATTTCAAGCCCTCTTCCTCTTTCCAAAAACCTCCCCTAAAGCAAGTTTGATTTTGTCTCATCCTGAGCCAACCAAATGCCACGAGGCTTTCATTTTCGTGACTCGAGTCGAGTGTCACTGCTGATTTCGTGGTATAAATTTTATTTTCCATGGCAAGTTTTTGTTATAAACATTTTTATAGTTCAAACTTGTCTTAGATTAATATACTGACTAAAAATTAACAGTTAGAATTGTGGCTTTATTTCGGAGTTAAAAAGAATTTTATGTGTAGATTTTTTTTGAAAATGACAAGACTGGATGGTAAGGGGTTGTTTTTGTATGGAATTTTTTTTGGTTATATTCAAAGGAAACTAATTCCCTAAGTATTGTTAGATTATTTGGTTTTCTTCAGATATGTTTATTATGAAATTAGTACCATATGAGTTTATGTATGATGTTTTTATTTTAAATGGTGGATATAGATTTACATAGAAATTGTTAAAAATATAATGCTTTTCTTAATTATTCTTTCCGTCTCAAATTATAAAATACTTTTAAATAAAATTTTACATATCAATAAAACTCATTAAATATACTTTATTGCCTTATTTTTTTAAGATAAAATATAAACTTTAAAAATGTCCTTTATTTAATACTCCAATGATAAAAGAATATTGAAGAAAGAGAATATATGGAAAGAATAATATTAAAAAAGTATTATTAATAAGGCTTTATTTTTATCAAAATATCTTATATTTTAGAATATTGAATATTTTTTAAAAACATCTTATAATTTAAAATGGGGGGAGAATTATTTTAACATGATTTTTTTTTGTACCAAAAAATGTATATGAGTTGCATTTTAGGAGTTTATCAGGGCTAAGCATGTCTTTAAATTTAAAGAGTATTTACAGAAATACTTATAGATTATTTATCAATAAAACACCAGGATTTTCACATAACTTAAGTCCTAACTTAAGCCTTCATTAACTGTTCTGTTTTTTGTAAAAAAATCAATCTACTTGATCCAATTTGAATTTTTTTTTTAAATTACAAGAAAAGGGCCAGGTCACAGCATGCATGGTTGGGCCGATTCGCGATGATCCTCTTGGACTTCGTTTACTTGTTAGTCTCTGGCTTTTACATTTTTTGACCAGACAACCTAAAAGCTGTTTTGCTTTGTACGATATCAATATCATTATCATAATGAGAGGTTATTCGTCCTTGCTTTGATTAATACTAATACTGTAATAGTTAGTGTGGAAAGATTTTGTTGATTAGTCGAATTTTGGTTTCTTTTTCTTTTAATTTTTTGGCATAATAGCATTAAGGGCACCAAAACTTCATTTTCCCTCACTTTTAAGAATTTAATATGGCCTTCAGACAAATTAGCAGACTAATCGGATGAGCGAGGTTTAAATAATCATCATCAATCATCAATAATCAATTAGTAGTTAGTGTGAAAATATTTTGCCAATCGGTAAAATTCTTCAGACAAATTAGCATGGGCCAATCAGATGAGCAAAGTTCAAATAATCACAATCAATCATCAATAATCAATTTGTAGTTAGTGTGAAAATATTTTGTCAATCGGTAAAATTTTATTTTCTTTCATAACAAAATAAGACTGCAATGAAAGAACACCAAAATTTCATTTTCCATAACTTAAAAATCTAATTATGGTCTTGGAACAAACTAGCGTTGGCCAATTGCTGAGCGAGTTTCAAACAATTGACCAGTCTACTTGTAAGTATTTATAGCCATTAATTATGCATTATCATCATTAATTAGCGTGGGTTTATACGTAGATTAATAATTAATAATTTATTAAAAAAAGAAGAGAAGAGAAGAGAAAATGGCAGAAATAGAATAGAACAGGTGGCACTGCCTCCAAGTCCAACATTTTCTCTTTATAAATGGTACCTTGACCCTGCAAGTCCAATTGGTAGTCTACCATTGTATGGTCCGGATGCTGGCAATGGCTGCTGCGCCGATAGGAATCGGAGTCGGGACGGTTCCGACTCACCGAGTCACTATGGCCACCCTTTCCTCCAACGCACTTCCTCCGTCGCACGGTATCATCTTTCTCAGGACGTGGCCGGCGAGGCGACGGCTTCTCTGGGTTAACTCTCTTCGAGCTCGTTCCTCCCTGCTCGGAGTCCGAGCGTCTTTGGCGGACGAATCTCTCTCACCAGGTTTGGCATTTACTTCCATATTTGCAAAGGCTTCATACTGTGCCTCCATGTATGATGTCTAGTGGTTGGAGTGGGAATGTTAGTAAAATGGACTATAATTTGCGGCAAGTGAGGGCGTTGTATTCAATGAAGGGGTTCCGTTGAGGTTCCTTTCATTGACTTGTGTTGTGAAGCTTTGGAGAAAAGATATGCCTACTTTTATGTCAGGTCTCGGCTTACATTGGCAATTTTTGGTTTTGGAAAATAAAGTTTGATGCTATATTCAATTTCGACGCGAAGAAGGAAAGGGGCAACTTACAGTTTCCTATAGAAGAATGAGAGTTCCTGTCAGTGCCATGTTAACTTGACTTTTGAGTGACCCGTGCAGCTACTTGATTTATTTGTTGGGCAGTTAACGGATAATTTCTAATTGGACTACGCATCAGAATGCTAACCAAATCCTGCTTGCCTGGTGCTCTTTACTTAGTAAACAACATTCTACTCTAACTCCAAATTAACTTAAAGGAAGGCGGTGTTGGAATTAGTTAAAGGGGTTTCGGAAACGGTTATTTAAGACGAAGGTATACAATGTTTGGAGTTTACAAGATGCTCATGGTTTTCAGTGTGTTGGACAAATTTGATGTTGAATGTTCAGCCTGTTTTTATTTATACTGATTATCATTGAACGCATGCCATCACTTTATCCTGGCCTCATATTTTCAGGGGTTGGTTACGGTTTGCATTAGATACTTATAAAGGGACAAACGAGAAATTTTATATGCCATGCTGTTTCTTTGTGTTAATGATCAATCCAATGTTCTAACCTCAGAGCTAGGGTTAAATTTCTAGCAGATATTTCTTTATTAACATTGCATTGAAGTTTGAAGTTACCTGATGATTCAAACACAGATGCCTTCATGAGGGAAAAAAAAATTACGGACATGTCAATTCAGATTTATTATTTATCATAAGAATATAAATCATGTTATTGATCTTTCATTTTATTCTTTAGGGGGGGGGGAAGCTAAGCTAAAGGTGACTTCTTGAGTTCTTTCTTCTTCTCACAGGAAAAGGTGTTGAGAATGTAGTTATTATAGGTTCAGGCCCTGCAGGATACACAGCAGCAATATATACAGCACGTGCCAACTTGAAGCCTGTTGTATTTGAAGGGTACCAAATGGGAGGTGTTCCAGGGGGTCAGTTGATGACTACAACTGAGGTAGAGAATTTTCCAGGATTTCCAGATGGGATAAGTGGTCCTGATCTGATGGACAGGTATATGAAAAGAAAGGAAAGGTGAAATTTGTTGTAACATGTTATATTGAAATTTAGTCATTTGATCTTGGAGTTCACACATTTTCTACCTATCACTATCTAGGATGCGGCGTCAAGCTGAGCGATGGGGAGCGGAACTCTTCCAAGAAGATGTTGAAGCTATTGATGTAAAAAGCCATCCTTTTACTGTACAAAGTAGTGAACGTAAGGTGACATATTTGTTTAACGAGCTATTGTTTTTTTTGTGTTTGAGTAAAAAGAACAGTTTTTGGCACATACTTGGTGACAACTATTTTTAGATTTTAATTTTCCTGTTCTTTGGGAGACTAGTCGTTTGTGTAGTTTATTAGGTGTTATTGATTAAATATTTATGTATATATATTTCAGATTAAATGTCATACTGTCATTGTTGCTACTGGAGCTACCGCAAAAAGACTTAGGCTACCCCGAGAAAATGAATTTTGGAGCCGGGGAATCAGTGCTTGTGCTATTTGTGATGGAGCATCACCTCTCTTTAAAGGACAAGTTCTTGCTGTCATTGGAGGTGGAGATACAGCTACTGAGGAAGCATTATACTTGACTAAATATGCTCGTCATGTTCACTTACTTGTGCGTAGGGACCAACTAAGGGCTTCTAAAGCAATGCAAGATCGGTGGGTCTGATAAGCATATCCTGACATTTGGTACTTGCTAGTTGTTAAGTAATGTCAAACTTTACAATCATGCTATCAATTGAAGACCTCCTTGGGATGCTACATTATTTGAAGTTCATTTTTCTGGCATGATCAATGTTGTTACCAGCTCGCATTTAATCATAGTGTTATTTACTCGTCTTGATGTATCTCTTTATTTTTCTCATGTGTCTTGTGTGTAATATATGTTTTCTTGGGCAGTTTTAGTTTTAGACATACTTAGTTGGATCTTTGGTTCTTATGTATTAGCAATTGTCAGGCTCTATTGTTTAGTTAACCTCCCATTTCTGTCTTCAGAACTAAAATATCCTTCATTGACTTGTGACCACCTCAAATGCCTCATATAACTTTTATTTCATATTGTACCATTTGTTTTTGTTTTATAGTTTTATAAGCATGACTTAGTAGTTAACCTCTTTTTCATTTGATGAGCTGAATGCAATCAATGAGTAATGAATATTTTACTTATTAAGTAAGCTTGTGGTTTATTCTTTTTGTATTATCATTGATTTTTTCTTCCAAACACATAATAACCATATATTGAAGGTCGTTAATGACCTGTAAACCTTATGGTGAACTAGTTCAAATTTCTTGTTTTTATAATTATTCATTTCCTCGATTCAGGTTTGGTTCTGATTTTTACATCCTACTTCCTTGTTTGATCCCAAGAACATGCCACCATTCACTTTTTGCTTATAAGATGTTCAGTTCACTTTCTTCACATGTCCAACTGCAGACAATTACACTAAGATCCATGCATATGACCATAGACGCGTGGTTGCAGAAAATGTTGGGTTGAAATAGTGAATAATTCTAACTTGAAACAGAATTTTT